TGGACCTCGTCTGGGACTTGGGCATAGTTGGGCAATGCAAGCCTCTGATACACAGGCGGGTTTTTCTTTTAGACATCCCCACGCATTCGGAATCTTCTCACCACGTGGCCTGCGCGTTTTTTGTAATGGCTAGCATATCGGAATATTGGTCATCGTTGATCTCAGTTCTCTTCCCCCTCCTGCCATCCTTCACCTCCTCCTTCGCCTTTTTACCGTTTGTTGTTGCTCAGTGCAGTGATTTTATCCGGGACGGGAAGCATCCATGGCATACCTCCCTGAACTCGAATGAGGTGGCTTCGAAGCCTAGTAGTTACACAAGCCGCCCCTGGCGAGGTGGGCTGGGCGCCATGGCACCACTCTTATACGACAGTCTCAAACCTGCGCCGACATCACATTGCAGATTTTAGACCATCAGACCGCGAACGCAAGACGGAGTTGGAGTTGGGCACGGACTCAGGCACAAAACGGAAGACACCAGGCCGACTGACGCAGCCTGCCGCAGCCTTTCTTTGGCCAGGCTCGTCCGTTGAATGCTTGCTGCGCACGGCCATGGCAATAACCTAGTAAATTTCCACAATGACATCAACTCCCCAGTCGAACATGGCAAGCGGCATGACCGAACCGCCTTCTCTCTCGCCATGATGTCGTGGAACCGGTCCCCCTAGATAAGTTCCTACGCATGCAATTGGGCCGCGCTGCGAGATGGCACGCGCCAATGAGCAGAGCATTCGCTCTCTCTATGCCTCTCCGTCCCCGTCACTCTCTTACTCTTCTCCCCGGAGGGGCTGTGAACCTTTGTCTGCATCCCGCTGGCTAGATGCAGCAGGTCTGTCAGCTGACCTCAGTCGCTTTACTTGTCGCAGCAGGACAAGGACGCTGCGGTCTGGGATGGGTGACACCCCCAATGTGATTAATAAGAGCGCAGGATATAATGAGGGAATATTGACGCCGTCCTGCCGCCGTCGGTCGCGCCTTGGCGTTTCTCCGTCCGATGCCATGATGCCGCAGCAACATTGTCTGATCATGAGGATATTAGGGGGGGGGGGCAGAATTGCCGTGTATACATGTACTTGTAGGTACATTCGACCAACCGCCGTTGTGGCTCACGGCTGTACTGTAGAGCACGACACATATACCAGGTCCACTGCGAGAGAGCCAGGGTGGCTGCTTGAGAGGGGAAAAAAAAAGAAGGATGACAAGAGTCTGTGACAAGCAGCTTGTTGCTTCTGCATATCTGGTACGTCCGAGTATGCATCGTGGCATCATGTGCCCCGTCTGCGACCGGGTGTCGCCTGTTGACCATTCAAAGCTGGCTCCCACCCAAAGACACGCGCGATATGCTTCCCTAATGACCAGGAGGCGCTGTGCGGCTTGGGAGGAGGGACATGGCCGGTTGGTGCTGTGAAATGGCATGTAGTCGTCTTTGGCTGTCTAACGCAGCTGCACCCATTCAGAAGTGCATCGTCTCCCAAGCGCGACGGCAACCCGCAGAGTAAACGGACCGTAGGCTGCACGCGCTCTTCGGTGGCCTTTGCTGGAGGACAGAATCCTCCATCTCAGTTGAGGCGCAGTGCCATGCCCGATCTTGTCTACTGCCATCTGTCGGTCGTTGGTTGCTTCTTTTTTTTTCCCCTTTCTTTTTCTTCATTTCCTTATTTCACCGACTTCTGCTTCTCTCCGTAGCTGACATCAACAAGACAGTTTTGTGATGAAACCTACAGCTTCACCGGCCCCACACGGTTGGCCTGTGGATGAATCTCGACCACGCCGCGATTCTGCGTTGTCGTACATCGTACTACTAGAGGCTGAAATGATTTAGAGTAGACGCTTTAGCACATCTACCTAGTACGTCACACATTGGAGGCGTCCACATATCTGGGTACTTTAGATGTCCGTATACGGCACACACAAAAATCGACTTACATGCAGCTTGCCGTAGCACACCGGTCGCCTGTCACTTGGAGGTCAATGGAACGAGCTGCTGGAAGTGTACTCGTACAGTAGCATTGCCTGGGACCGGGGGAAGGGGAGGAGGGCACCCTTGGCACCACCGCCATTACCCAAGGTTGGGCAAATATTTCGCTCGCAAGGCGTCCAAAAGGCCAAGCCAACGCATAGCTGCCTCGCCCCCGTGCTCATCTGCCATTCGCGTGGCCGAGTGCTGCAGCCGCAAGACAAACCATCTAGGCTAGCACATGTTAGCTACATGCTTCCTCTTGGAAGTTCAGACCGCTGATGACGGATCCTGCGGTGACAGGGGGTGCGTTGGGCTTGCGGTTCTTGTATCTATAAGTTGGTAAATTTGATGTGGTAGCCGCTAGCCAATACCCAACAACTGTCTGTTGGCGCAGAAGATGACAAGCGAGTAAATTTCTCGAGCAGGTGAAGGAAATTGCAGCGTGCTGCGATGCTATTGTTAGCTTGCAGGCCATTACATGATATTGTGCCCACTCAACTTACATCGACTGTGCAGGAGTTAGCACGCACCGTAACTTTGTAGATGCGGCAGGTAAAAGAGGCGCTTCTGTAGTCATCTGCACGATACCTTTTACCGGTGTAGGGAGACCTCTCCCTACCTGCTTGCACAAAGCAGCGAAAGAAGTTGAACGGTCCACCCACTCGTACTTGCAACCGAACATCCAGAGTACATTACAGCCAAGGTACGGATGTATCTGCGCCAGCACACAGACGGGCATGCTACGCCCACTCCCGGGAGGAGATCTCGGCTGCTTGTCACACAGATGCAAGTACCTCTCCGTATCGGAGCATGGTTCGAGCGATGAGAGTGTCTGTTCATGTGTTCCCCCAACTCAAATTGCTTCGGGGCGATCAGGAATTTGTCCCCGAGACGATGCCCCAGGTTTTGGAATGTCCTCCAGGGCTCGGCATAATACACCACAACACACACACACACACACACATGTAGTAATGCAACGGCCGCTAACAACGGCCCGTACGACGTTTTGTCAGTATCCGCACAGTCCATCACGAGAGGCCGATGGCCATGTCGAACCACGGAAACCAAGGTGAATCACACAACGTTCTTCTGCGCCCGCCACATGAAGAGCCCCCCGTGCTGCCTCTTCTCGAAGGAGAAAGCAACAAGAGCATAAGGTCGAGGCTGCTAGTGCAGCACTGACAGATAGTAGCATGGAGACGAAGCGAAGTGACGTTGTTCGCTAGGCCTAACGAACGCTCAACTGGCTAGCCTGCTGCTATTATTGTCCAGTCATTGAGCTCGTACCTGATCTCTCACCTTGTGCTCCTGTCTTTGTCGCTCCACTCCCCCCTTTCTAGCTCGCACCCCCTCTTCCGCATTGAGGATTGGATTCCACCAAGGCGCTGAGAGAAGCCAGAAGCCCAAGCGAAACCACCATCGCAACCGCGACCGAAACCACAGCTGGCGTGACTAGCCCGAGTCGTCGTTACACCTTGGTTTGGCGACGGGCTGGAACAAGCGACGGGTAGATGATACTTGGTCGGAGGATGCCGCCGGCCGGATGATGGCCGCTGCGATGGCTTCAATGCGTGAGGGCTGAGGTTGACGTTGCTTTTTCGGGGTGGTTACACAAGCCGTGCACCGAAAAATACGGTGTACAGATACGGTCAGAAAAAAAAAGCGTGCGGCAGTTGCGCACACTGCGCCTGCCCAGATGCCCTCGACGCTGGTAAGAAAGCGCCGTGGCCCGTTGGCTCTTTCAGGGATCTAGTCTTTTTTCTTCTTCTTTTCTTTGCCTATTTTTTTCTTTTCCTTTTTCTTTTTCTGCCTTTTTCTCCCTTTCCCTTCCTTTTTCTTCTCTCTTCTTCTTCTTCTTCTTTTTTGCCTTTTTGGTTTGCCTTTTGCCCCCCCTTCTTCCCATTCCTTCTCCATCAGCCGCCATAGTCATCATCATCATCATCGCCTGTGTGTCTCTCTTTTTGCCGTCTTCCCACTCATCCGGGATCCTTCTCACCCCTCGAGAAGCTGCTCACACACCTCTCTTTTCCAGCAGACATCATTGCCATCATCATCCTGTCTCCTCTCCACCATTTACCCCTAGCCAACTTCTTTTTTGGTTGGGCCCTGTGCCTGTACCGCATACCAGATCCTTGCCCCTGCAAATGCCTGTCGGACTAGTCAAGGTCAAGCTGCGCACCCCTTCACCCCCCAAACCCACCCCCCCAAGACACCAAGAGGCCAAGTACCCGGTAGGTACCGGCCTGGTGCTTCGCTTTTTCTGCCGTTGTTTGGCTGACTCGGGGGAGCCTCAATAAAATCACTGCGCTTGACCACTAGGTAAGGCCTGGTCCGTGCTAGGATTTTTTTTTATTCCTTCTTCCAGGGCACCCCGAGCGCCCCACGGACCCAATTGCCCTGTCGCTTGACTTCGCCTTAATGCTTCAACGATCAACTCTCTTTTCTGTCGGCCTGTGGTTCCTAACTCACATCACAGCCCAACTTAAAGTGTACCGTACTAGGGAGCAACGGGGCTTGTCCCGCCATGGGTTGTTATGTTTTCAGCTTTATAACCCCAGGATTGCATCCTGGTACGTACTTATGACTTCGTCCACCACTACATATATCATCACTCATCCCACTCTCACCAAACCGCCTCTCCTCCTCTCTCCCAAGTTCTCCAATAAGCTTGTCTCACGGGTACAGCCCTATCTGCTTGATTGACTCGGGTTGTTTTGCCTGTCCTGCATTGGGTGATATATACATACATACCTTACATATATATTACCCCATCCACCCCCTTCTCCCATCGTCGTCTACCAAGCCGGCCACGCTATTGACTGGCGACATCACAACCATTTGCTTTTTCCAACACCAGTTTCAATCCGCTCGAACTCTTAAACTCGTCATTGGACCTCAATCGCGTCTACTGGACCAGCGTGTTCGGATACGAGCTTCGTAAACCTTGTTGCTCGGCTGGTAGCTTTTTACAGCTGATCCCGTTTGCCCCGTTTCAGCAACAAATCTCACTCTCCGACGCCTCTGAAGCCAAGAGTCAGCCAATATGCTGGGTCGGAATCCAACTTCCGCCCCTCGCCCTCGGCGTCGCGGATCTGCCGCTCAGCGCAAAGACACGCTACCGCCTTTTCCTGTTCAGCAGATGTTTGTGCTAGGTAAGTACCTGTATCTCGCTCTGGGCCGGGGTTGAGTGCACCTTGTGGCTAATGCGAGGATAATGTAGCCTGCTGCAGACTATGTGAACCCATTGCCTTCATGTCCATCTTCCCGTACATTTACTACATGATTGAGGACTTCAAAATCACCGAGGACCCGACCCAAATTTCCGTCTACGCTGGCATGGTAACCTCCGCATTCACCCTGGCCGAGTTTGCAACTGGTGTCATGTGGGGGAAGCTGAGTGACAAGATCGGACGAAAGCCTGTTCTACTCAGCGGTCTCATCGGAACAGCCATCAGTGTTCTCATCTTCGGTTTCGCTCCTAGCTTGCCGGTCGCCCTCTTTGCGAGAGCAATGGGCGGCCTTCTCAATGGGTAAAACTCTCTACGTGATACATCCGGAACGCTCAGCTCTAACATGATTCTCAGAAATATTGGTGTGCTGCAGACAACTGTGGCTGAGCTCGTTACCGTTAAAGAACATCAACGTATGTTACCTTCTCGATGAATGATCCTTCCCCGGCGTGTCATTGATCGGGCCATACTAACGAGATCCCTACAGCTCGCGCATATACTATCATGCCTATGGTTTGGTGCATTGGGTGAGCATCCTCAACACAGAGTACAAACGCCATTATTCTAACCGGCTTTTCCAGTTCCATCATTGGCCCTATGATTGGTGGCGCTCTTGCTCGTCCCTGCGTCAGCTATCCCGCTTACTTTGCCCGCGGCTCAATCTGGGATCAGTACCCATATCTCTTGCCCAATCTTTTCAGCGCGGCGACTGTTCTCTTTGGCGTAATCGTTGGTATCCTCTTTTTGGAAGAGACTCATCTTGGCAAGAAGGGCGAGAAGGATCGCGGTCGTGAGATTGGTGATCGAATTGCCGCCCTCTTCATTAGGGCTACCTACGGCCGAGCTGATAAGCATGAGAAGCTACATCTTCTCGCTGATGGCCAACAAAGCGGATACGGCGCCCTTTCCGACTCTCCCACTCCTGATGCGACGAAGCCCCCTCGTGGGAGGGAAGATGGAGAAGTCCCGCCCGGTTACCGAAGCCGAGATATCTCGCCTCGAGTGCCGTCTCCGGACGCTACAGAGACCTCTGACGCCCAGCCCGATCAACCGACCAAAATCTTCACCAAGCCAGTCGTGATGAATATTATTTCTTATGGCATTCTCGCGTTGTAAGTTGTTTTCCTTGGCAGCATCGTGACCTGTGACCTTACTAACCTACCTCCAGCCATACTATCACGTATGACCAGCTCTTTCCCGTCTTCTTAAGCACTGCCCCTCCCAAGGAGCCCATTCTCGAGCTTCCCTTTAAATTTGTGAACGGATTCGGCCTCGAAACAAAAGCGATTGGCGTCATCATCTCTGTTCAGGGCTTCTATTCTCTGCTGTCCAACTATCTGATTGTGACACCCATGACCCGTCGACTGGGACCTCTCCGCCTGTTTCGCCTCATTGCATTTTCCTACTTTGCCCTCTATCTCGTTACGCCTTACGTGGTACTCCTCCCCGAGAGCTTGAGGATGCCCGCCATTTACCTATTGGTCATCTGGAAATGCACCTTTTCGACAATGGCATACCCTAGCAACGCAATCCTCCTGGCCAACTCGGCCCCGACGAAGCAAGTTCTCGGCACCATCAATGGCGTCGCAGCGTCCACAGCTAGCTTGTGCAGAGCTCTTGGCCCTACTCTTTCTGGCTTCCTCTACGCCATGGGCTTGCAATCAGGCTATTCGGGCCTCGCTTGGTGGTTCAGCGGTCTGGTCACCATTGTTGGTGCTTATCTTAGCTCCCAGATCACCGAGGGAGCCCAAGCCCCAGTTTCTGGAGAAATGACTGATGCTGATCAATCCCTCATGAACGATTATGATGATGATGAAAACGTTTAAGGTTTTATATTTTTGGTTTCCCCCCGATTCTCGCGGCACGAATCTCATTTTTCGAAACGGCTCACCACCCCGAGACGACGACGGTTTTTTTCTTACCTTCACCTTTATTATTATTATTATTATTTTTATAACTGGTATAATCCACGGCTTGAACAAACGACTTCGAATACGCTTTTTCGAGCCGACAAAGGTGATGACTTCGGTCAGGCATAACGGCGCCTTGAGAGGCTTCATCTATCTCTCTCCCTTTTATTTTTCGCCCCCATCTCTCTAACATTTTATTTTTGGGTTTCATTATTTATTTTTATTTTATTTTTCAAACTTGATGCAAACACGTTCAGGCCAACAATGTTGGCTAATAGAAGGATATTGGAGCTCTGGGATAAACAGGGAATGGAGCTATTTTTGGATTTTTTACTACTTCGGATTTTATTCTTGTTTCCCCCCCTGTATTTCCCCCTTTTCCTCCTCTTCCAAAGTGGGGGAAGAAAGGCACAGCCGTTGGCTCTGCAATATGCGGTGATAATGGTCCGAGGATTGAGGAACCGGGAGACTCGGACCAAGCCGGCGTGGAAGACGGAGATCAAGGACATGGATTGGGCTTATGGGTATATCATTGGGTACATGGCACAGGGCATAAGGCACTGGGAATGAATATTGGACACTAGGCATTAGGAACGGGATATCGGACACGGGGTATAAGACACGGAATGTCAGGCTCTGGAAACTGGAACTAGGCACTTGAAGGCAGGTTTGGCTTACGGTTGGTCGGAGACGGCTTGGACTGGGACGAGACACGACGGGGTAGGGTGGGATGGGGGCTGATGGACATTACTGATTAGAGATCCCCCCCATGGTGGTGGGCTTGGGACTTTCGTTTGGGTTTTGGGTACAGAGTGTTTGGTAGTTGCATAAGTAGGTTTAGGTATGCATTGGGTCTAGCCATTGAAAGTTTTGACAAATATGAAAAACTTTGCGAGTGGCAATCTGCGAGTACCTACCTAGCTTCGTCGTGTGCTTTTGCGGTGAAGGGGAGCTCTTCGGCAGCTGGCTACTATAGCTACCGCCTGGGGATAGTACTATAGTATGCTGTCCAGCACCAAGTACACGTACATGTACTGGTATGGGGGGAGTGCGAGTAAAGAAGTGGGGGAGAGAAGAGGAAAAGAAACAAAAGAGACGATGTGATGGTGGCACGGCCCCATGGGTTCTGCAGTTAGTTCCGACAAGAAGCCTGATCCTGGTGCCTGACTAGGAGTGAGAAGGCGGGATGGCGATTTAGCAAGGAGAGCAAGACACCCAAAGAGACGGGGGAAACGGGATGGATGAATGCTGGGGCCAATCGGGATGCGTAGAGGCAAGCCAGCAGATTGGGCTGCCACGGTCTTTGGTGTGGTTTGGAGGAACAAAAGTTGTGGTGTGTACTCGTACAGCCATTGTCCAGCAAAGTGTGCCCGCGCTAATGTAAGAGGGTGGCATGCAAGTGGCATGGCAAGGCATAGTATGGTACCATTTCAGAGCGGTTAGATGGGCTAGAGGTGGTTAAATGTGACGCTGCTAAGGACACAGGTAAGCGGCACTTTGTTTGTTACAAGCCATGAGGCTTTTGTGGGATGATGATATGGGGAGATGGGTGTTGTGTTGATGTTTTTTCTTCTTTGGCTGAAGCGAGGGAGGGGTGTGTGAGGTTTGGGGGAAGAGTGAGGGTGGGGATGTATGGAGAAGAGACAGACAGACAGACATAAGTGAGGGAGTGAGAGAGAGAGAGATCTAGGTGTGTGTAGGCATCAAGGCAATGCATATGGCGTTCATCTTACCCCGGATTTGCTGTGAGTGGGTTTGTGCCGATGGAGTTGTGAATCTTACCGGTAACCTACTAGAGGTACCTGTGCATCCAGTACCAGTAGCAGGGATTGTATCGATTATGGGTGCGTTTGCTTGCCGAGCATTGACATGGAGTGTCAACCAGAAGATGCCAGAAAAACAAGGAACACTATAGTAGAGAGGAGGAATAAGTAACACTATAGAAGAGAAGAAGAATATAATTGAACTGTTGAGATGATGATTTGCACAACTGGATTCCGATGAGCAAGCGAAGGGGATTAGTAGATATTCGGCGTAATAGATACCTTAGGTTGTACCTTAGTCTTTACATGTACATGTACTAAGGTTAGTACTACTAACTAACCCACCCAAGCTTGGAGGCGGAGATGGTTCCGCGGGATAGACGGAGCAACGCACAATTTGCTTGTGACGCCCTTGTGTGCAAGCAGCAGCACCTCTAGCTAATAGAGTTATACCGGCATCTACCACTTAGTAGGTGCTAGGTAGGTGGTACTAACGTATCCCGTTCAAAGCGTGGGCTGCCTGGAAGTACCTACCTAGTACCATTGAACATGGGATGGGATGGGATGGGATGGATGGGATTAGAATCGAGACCGGGCAGCTGAAGTACATACTCGTGCCTCTGCCACTCCGATGGGCTCTGCCAAGCTGACATGGCATTTCCCCATAACGAATAATCCCCGTAGGTGCCAATCGGAGATAAGGCGAAATAAAAGGGGAGGTAAATCGTCTCTGCATGTACCAACCTGAGCTGCCGCAGGTATACGGGGACCACTCCTATACCTTAGGTACTCCATACTCGTACATCGCATGTGCTATGATGGCATCAAACAGACAAGGCAGAGTCCCTACTATCCACCCGGCTTGCCTGCTATAGGTAAGAGTCACGCTCTCTGGCAGGACATAGCAGCATGCACGGCTGTTTTTTTTTTTTTTTTTCTTTTTTTTTTTACTAAACTCGACGGTAGCATTATTAATACATACCTTAGAGGACGCGGTGCTGCTGCTGTTCCTCTGTGGGGACTAAAGTTGCGGAGGACATGCGCTCGTATGCAAGCCCGGTGGCTCCTCCAAATCTCGCTGGTAAAGTCCGTGTATGTACTAAGGTACTCTGTTGGTATATAAGATACGAGTGAGTACCTGAGGTGAGGTAAGGAAGGTATCGGCGACCCCAAGTCAAGGCGCAGCTCATCTCCATCATCCCCATATTTCTTTCTCCTCCCAGATGCCTTATCTTGATGCTACCTTATGGGGAGGCGTTAGATGGAGTACCACTATTACCTAACTGCAGCGAACCCCCAAGTTCCATGCCTCGAGTACAATTCAGCCAAAAATAGATGATTTAAGAAAACATAAGCTTGGAAATCGACACAAGGGAAAAAATGACAGGGCAATATTACTACGATTACAGCACGAGCGGTTATATCCAAATGCGGGGGACCGGCGCACCGGGCGGTTGGTTCAGCCGGGGAACTCTTCTTTTTTTCTCTCAGACTCCTAGTCTCTTTCAAAAATCCCCCCATTCTTTTGCCAGTCTGTGCTCTTATCAACCATTACCTGATACAGGCAGTTCCTTGGGCTAAGATAGCGCTATGTGTAATAAGGCGTAGCACTAATCGTGTCAAGTATCGGTAGCACGCACATGGGGCCGCCGCCACTGGATGGCAGGCTCGTTAGCAGCTACTTGCCGGCCAGGCGTCGCGCGCCGCCAATCGCAGGTACTGCTTGATCCCGGGCCCCATCGTCAGCCCGAGCAGCGAGGTTCCTCTTCTACTAAGCCGAGCCTCGCTCGTGGGGTTCACTTTTGTCGCGGCTACCCACCATCTTTTCCCTTCCCCAAACCAAAAGCCTTGGAGTTTTGTCAACTACATGCCACAGACGACCGACCGTACGTTGCTGCATCGCTACATCGCCGCGTTGCTGCATTGCTGCATCATTGAATCGCCTCAGTTGCCGTTACTCATGCGGTGCTATTGCTGCATCCCTACCTTATACACCTGATCCTGCAGCCTCCTGCGCCGTGATACAGGCGCATACCAACCGACTGCGTTAGCCCAGGCCTTTTGCCAAGTGCTGGCTGCTTTGCATTGTCGTCCTTGCGCACTCCAACAGCTCTCGTCGGTTGACTGCATATCAGTCCTCTCCGGGGAAGCAATCCGACCTGATCTGACCTGACCTTCTGTGGCTCGGCGCGTCTGTTCCGCACCTGTTATATCGCACGCTCAACGCCTTCGGTTATGCGCTGCGACCAAACAGCTCGCCTTCTGGATGGTTGATGCCACGTTTGCGGTCGCTCTGCTCGATTGCTCTGCCGACGTGTCGTCATACTTGTACCTGACGACCATCTGTGCCTTCGACCGCCTGTGCTTGTGCTTCTAGGGCGCCCCTCCGATTGCCGCTGGTTTCTGGCCGATATTCGGCCTGTGTCTGATTCTGGACGATGGGATAGCGGAATAAGGAAAGTTGCGCACAGGATTGACCAGCTGTTGAAAAGACATACGCACGCACATACGCATTCATATGAATTTAGAGACACGACGGAGAAATTTAGAGAGAGGAAAGGATCAGAAAGAGGAGGAGAAAAAGCGAGGCTAAAGGAAGCATCTCTTACATATAGACGACGTGCTTGTGGAACAGAGATATCCTTCGCAACCAAAACAACGAGGGAACCATTGGCGAGCTGGAGGTGAGTCGAGTCGAGCTGGATCGAATTGAATCAAGTCTCTGTGCTCTGCATGCATAGTGTCCCACATCCCACATCCCACATCCCCCGCTGGCTTAACTGCGATCTGACCTTGTAGGTGGCCGTCCGATTTATCCCATCTAGACCGAGAAGCATTGCCCTTGTCCTTGTCATCATTGCCGCCTGACTGTGCGTGCGTGGCGTGTGTGCGTCTGCGTGAGAGAGCACGATAGCACCAACGAGACGGAGAGAAGAGGCAAGGGATAACAGGGGACGGGTGAAAAAAAACCGGAGACGACGGAGACTTGTGTGTACTGTACAGTATCTGTATCTGTGCATGCAGGCTGCCGTGGCCCTCCTCTTCTTTCTCAGACTCTCACCTTGCTTCTTCCCCCCCCCCCAGAGGATCTAACGCCGACCCCCTCCTGACCCCAACCTCTCAAAGCTCTCCCTCGCTGGGGGACTGCCGGCCTAACACAAGCCAACCTTGCCCTATTCCTCTTAAACCATGCCCACGCATGGCCCGCCGTCCCCGATCCTCCAGAAAAGCGTCAAGCGTCAGCGGCAGGACTCGTACGACGGCACGTCATCGCGCAACGGCTTCTCAAGTCCTGAGCAGCCAGCCGGCGATGCGAATCTAGGAGGGGCGACGAGCGGCGGCAGTAGCAGCAGCGGCCGCAGCGAGGCTGGTGCCTCGGCATCGTACCCCGGCATCCCTGTCACCTCTGACTCTGTTCCTGGCCCTGGCCATGGTCATGGTCAAGGTCATGATTCCAGTGCCGGCGACGGCGCAGCTGATACTGCCATTGTTGATGATGCCGCCGCAAACACCAACACCAACACCGGCACCGCCCCTGCCGCCGGCTCCGACAGCATTGTGCCGACTGGCAAGCCTGGCCAAAGCAGCAACTTCCGCAATGTGAGCGCTTGCAATCGCTGTCGCCTGCGGAAGAATAGGTGTGATCAGAAGCTTCCCAGCTGTGCGAGCTGCAACAAGGTTGGCGTCCCATGTGTTGGCTATGACCCAATCACGAAGAAGGAGATTCCTAGAAGGTAAGCAGACGCGGGAGACTACACGATGCGCTAGGGAGGGAGAGCGAGGCGAGGTGGCAGAGAACGGATAGTGTTTGGTTCACCTCTGTACAGCTCTGTTCTTTACATCTCGTTGCAATTGATAGCTTGGCGTTGCTAATTGTTGGATCCTAGTTATGTCTTCTATCTTGAAACCCGTGTTGAGGTGCTGGAGAAGCTCTTGGCGTCAAATAACATTCCTTTCCCGCCAGCTGAAGATCTAGACCTATGCTCTCGTCCTGGCGCCGATGGGAGTTTTCCAACCCTACGCGACTCGGGATACTCGGCGCAAACCGACTCTGTGGACGCCCGCAACTCAAGACCTCACAGCCATCACAGTCAGGCACTGGATAATGCGCTGCTCCCTGCGAAGAAGCAGGGCGACCAGAGTCCAGCTATGCTGAACATTGTCAGTCCGACAAAGCCTCGATCACTCGCCTCCACATCTGGAGTTTCGTTCGCTCGTGTAGTGTTTGCTGCGGTGCAGTATTCAGTATCAGACCAAAACGGTGGGCCGGAGAAGCCCGTCTCTTCAAATCCTTCAAACCCGGCTGGGGCCGGAACTTCGATGCGTGACTCCTTCTTCGGTTTGCACACTCGACCAACCATTCAGCCAGCTACATTCCCGGCTAGAGATGTGGCCATACGCCTCGTCACGCTTTACTTTGAGCATGCCAATCCTCAGATCCCCATCCTGCATCGCGGCGAGTTTATGCGCATGTTTGAACGGGCGTACGCAAGCGAGGGGCGAGGCCTCACTGCGAGAGAGCTGTATATGCTCAACATGGTCTTTGCCATAGGCTGCGGCGTCATCGTGGGCGAGCCGGTCAAGGCGGAGGCTCCCGGAGGCGCAAGGATACAGTTTCAGCAGACTCGAAATCAGAGCAGGCCCGAGGAGTATCATGCGAGCGCAATTGTCCACCTTGAGGAATGCCTCAGCAGCAGTGGAGGTGGGCTCGAGGTTCTGCAGGCCGTTCTTTTGCTCGCCAACTTTGCGCTTCTGCGGCCTGTTCCACCAGGCTTGTGGTATATAGTGGGCGTTGCGGTGCGTCTCGCGGTCGACCTTGGCCTCCACCACGAGGATGGCACGGATATAGAGGGAAATGGACAGGATGCACCGGACCATTCCGTGTCACGAGACTCTAATGGCGGCAGCTCAGATAGAGGGAGACGCCTCTGGATCCGCGATATGAGACGCCGATTATGGTGGTGCACCTATTCGTTTGACAGGCTCGTGAGCACCTGTGTAGGCAGGCCGTTTGGCATAAGCGACCAAGTCATCACAACAGAATTTCCCTCGGTCCTCGACGATGCCTTTATCACACCGAATGGTTTTATAGATCCGCCTTCCGGCGAGGATCACCCGAGCTATAAACGCGTTGCCCACCATTACTTCAGGCTACGCATGCTACAGTCGGAGATTCTTCAGGTGTTGCAGTATAACCAAGCGCAAATTGCCAGGACGACAGGAGCTCAGGCGAGGTCACTGGATCTAGAAAGGAACAGACTACTACCATCCCCGTATCTTGTTCAATTTGATTCATACCGGTCATGGCGCATGGATATCGACCGGAGGCTTCGCGAATGGAAGGACAGCGCGCCTTCGAAGCAAGACACCGGAGTGGCCTTTTCGACCGAGTTCCTCTTTCTCAACTACTGGCAGGCCATCGTTCTGCTGTATAAGCAGAGCTTGAGCATCCCCGCCATGTTTGAGGGAGAGTACAACCCTTCAAACGAAGTCAACAGCCCAACGGCGTTCACTGCTGAGCTACGCGAAGACGAGGAGCGCATATACCTCAAGGTCGCCGAAGCGGGCCAAAAGATTCTCCGCATATATAGACAGTTGCACCTGAGCAGTCTCGTAAGCTATACATATTTGTCTACGCACCATTTGTTCATGGCTGGCATATCATATCTTTACGCCATCTGGCATTCTCCTGCTGTGAGAAGCCGCCTGGTAAGTGTCCTTGCGAGAACCCCGAGGGGAGGTAGAAAGAAAGAAGATGATGGATGAAATGAAAGAAGAACATTGGCCTTGCTGACCAAATAATGTGCGATAGACTATGGACGAAGTAGATTTTACCGTACTGGCAGCAAAGTCAGTATTTACCGACATGATTGACAAGTGCCCGCCGGCAGAGACATGCCGCGACGCTTTTGATCGAACGGCCAAGGCTACCATCCAAATGGCCACCTCAAAAGGAGGGTTTGGTTCACCTATCCCGCAAACCCGACGGCCGCCGACAAGACGGGAGACGAGCACCTGGGCCCCCACTCCCGCAGACATGGCCCCCAAGAAGCCGACGTCTCGGCATCGCCATCATCACCAGTCTGAGCAGCAGCAGCAGCAGCAGTTCCAGTTTGACATTCCCATGGGTGACAGTCTGTCATCGCCCAGCCTCTCGACAGCGGGGGATATAGCCACTCCGCCGCTAGCAATGGCTCATTCTCACTCTCACAGCCACGGCCGGCCAAGCCCTTCGCGGCGGACAGGCAGCTACGACGATGGCGGCTCAGTCATGGAACAGTCGATGATTGCGTCGCCGTCTGTGCCGCGGAGCCAGGCTACACCGGGCAGTACTAGCGGCGGGAACCCGTACATGGCTCAGCAAAACCAGCAGTTTGGCATCCAGGGGCACATGGAGTACCCGGATGCGCAAACCATGGAGCTTCTGCAGACGTTTGGGACGGGGTCCAACGGCGGCTTCGGGGGCATGGACCAGGCCCAGATGGACTTTGGCTTTGGCATAAACTGGGAGGGCGTGCACAACGACTATGCGGAGGCTGCACAGCCGATGAATCCCTTTGATACGTTTTTCTTTGGCGGGCCTCAGGGGGGCAACGCCGGATTTGGCTCGTCGAATGGCGAGGGTGGGCATTCGGGAGGGAACGACATGTGAGGATGAAGGATCGAGGTGCTTTTTTTTTCTTTTTTCTTTTTCTTTTTCTAACATATGCATACATACCCAATGGTTTTGCTGCTTTTCCGGTTTGCTCTGTTTATTTTGTGGTTCGTTTTGTTCTGCCTGTGGAGGATCTCTGTTTTGATGATATAACCGGGAACTGTTTTCCTTGAGGCATATGAAGTGCTGATGAACAGCATCATTGAGAAGATGGATTCTTGGATCTGAATTCTCCAAAGTAAGGGTATGCTTAGTTTGAGCGACTACTTAAGTACATATATATATATCAACATATACATATACATATTCCTACTAGGTAGATAAATGTGTGTTACAAAATGAAGTCGTGCTGTCCATTATTCATTCATTCTTCATCGTCATGTGCCGGCAGTGTAAGCATGGCTTGTCTAAAAAGGAAAACCAGAAAAACAAGAAGAAAAAAAGACAAAGATAGATTCAACGCCAACATCGCATCATTACGCATTGCTTGTTGTCGGAACGGGCACTTTAGTTGCACTCGCGCGTGAGAGTCTTGTTCTTGGGTATCAATCAATGTCCTCTGAAACTTTGCAACATTTGTGGCCTTGTAGCTGCAAAAATCGAAAAAAAAAAGAAAAGAAAAAAAAAGAGAGAGAGAAAAGCAAGAGTCGATAGCCAAAATGGAACAAAAAAAAAGAATGGCAAAAAGGGAAATGGAGAATAAGTCGAAACTTGGAATCAATGGGAAAACAGCTTTAACGGCGGTATCTCCTGTCGTCGTCCTCGCTGTAGCTGGATCGTCGGCTGCTGGATCTCCTGGCTTTTCGGCTCTGCCGCCTTGACGAAGGAGTGGTTTCCTCAATGACAACCACCTCGTTCTCCTCGTCGTAGTCCGAGGGGAGGGGATCCCTCCTGGGTGCCGGCCCGGCTCCAGATGACGAGGAAATCGTCGTCAGCGGCGACGGCTCCCTCTTCCTCCGCATGGGCTCTACTATGACGGGCTCCTTGCCTCTCCTCTCACTCCTGCGCTTGGACGTCTTCCTGGTGCGCTCCCGGCGGATCGAGAGCACCCTCGCGCCGTGCATCGAGGGGACCTTCTTCTTGGGCTTTTCGCTCTTTGGGCGGGCGGAGCTCAGCATGCTGCGGGAGACGTACGACTTGGACTCGGTGACCTCTGCGGTGCGGACGAGGCTGGACATGGGCCCGAAGCCCAGGATCGTGTATATGACGAGCAACAGCAAGATGAAGCCGACGACCGCGGCGATGACGATGCCGACGATGGCGCCTGGCGTGAGAGAGTCGTGGAGGGAGCCGTATATCTCGGGGATGACAACGAAGGTGGTCGTGGCGGAGTCTCGCTGTCGAGCCACGAGCGAGGGGGCGTCGCCATGGATAGTTCTGGTCGCGAGCCCGTCTATTGGCAGCCGTAAGAGAAGCGGTAGAGCCGGCATGTTTGTCTCTGTGTGTGTGCCCGTTTCTGGACCTCCCTGGATAAGTTGTGCTATGGTGAAACCAGCTTCTTTGCTGCCGAGGTTCGGAAGAGAAGAGGAGGACAGAGCAAAGAGGACAGAGTTCGGATAAGGATGCGGCTTTTGCTGTCGTTGGGACTCTGAGAGCCCAAAGCAAGAGGAAGACACGGTGTAGAAGCCGGAGATGGACAGACGAATAGATGCGCAGTGCAATGCAACGAAAGGCTCCTCAGCTCAGTAGGATGACGATGGCGTGTGCATCAACTGCATCATGTCGCTTTCAGGGGGGGTTGAGAGGATTCTACTGTGTGTCTCAGCAAGACATTCTTTTGAATCACCGAACCGAGGTTGAGGGGAGGAAGAAAAGAAGCTGTGCCGCCTCGTTCCCTGTCTCGTCTTTTTTTTTTTCTTGGTTGGTTTGTTGGTTCGTAATGGTAATTGGCATATGATAAGCCAAGCTTCAGGCACAAGGTGGGCTGGGATGGGCGGCAACGAACCGAGCCTAGAGGGGATAAAGGAAGGGGGAAAAAAAAATCCCCAGCCACCGATCAAATGGCGCTCCCAGCCACATCATTTTTGGTGGAGGCATTGACGTATGTGTTACCTGGTCCAATGAGAATATGTTGCTTACCTGGATTGTATATTAAATAACTTTTGATGAATAAAAGTGAGACTGAGTGAGAGAGTGTGTGTGAGGGTTGATGGATTGGACACATCTTGATGATGAAGCAAACTGGAAGTACTCATTGATGGCAGAGCAGGTACCATGGAACGCATTGGAACGTGCTCAAGTCTCAATGCCAAGCAGTCCATCTGATGAACCCCCACGCATCGGATTATATCATGGAAGTCGAAAGTCACAGACTGCACAAATTAAACACAAAAGGACTTGGTACGGAGTATTATTTTTTTATTTTTTCCCCCTAAAATAGGTACCTCTTTCAGATTCAATCGCTCCTCTACGTACTAAGGTACGATGGAACAAACTATGCCAACCCCTTTTACCACCAGTAACAACCAATCAATGATATATTCCCCTCAAGGCTCGATTTCATCAGAGCTTCCCCAGTCGTCAACAGTGTTAAACAAGAAGTATATATGGATGCAGGTTCATTATGCATCAAATATGTCCGGCGTAAATCACGCACCCTGCCTTCAAATCCTAGCGCTCAAGTACTGAAAAAGGAAAAAAAAAAAACCAAAAAAAAAAATAGAGACAAAGAAACAAGAACAGGTGCTTTTTGTAAGACGGAAAAGCATGTCTCCGGGACTCGATTCTTAACGCCAATCGCCTGTGTAATGAAGAGTGCCGAGATTTATATTGAATGTGGCATACTCGGATGAAACTCGTGGGGATATTCAAACAATAACGAAAAGAAGAAAAACACAAAGAGAAAACACAGCGGACCCGTTATATTTACACCTGGGCCGTTTGCTTCTGCGGGATTGGTGGCAGGGCACACGTCGGTGGTGGTGCCGGTGGTGGCATCGCCATCCGTGGCATGCTCTTCTTGCGACCCATCATCTGGGCCTGGTTGCTGCAAGAAGACGAGGGTCTCGACGAGGGAATCGGAGGAAGAGGACCTGTTGGAGGCGGCGAGAGTGGAGGCGTCTCTGCAATGGTGTCGATCGGGCGTACATCGCCAGGGGCCGACCATTCGGAAAAGGCAGACGCGATGCTGGCTCGCTTAGGTCTGGAAGCCCATGAAAATCCCAGGGAAAAGCTCCGTGTTGATTCGCCGTCAACCTCTACAGAGGTTCGGTTCCTCCTAACCCTGTCACCCCAAGCAGCTGCGATATGAGACGGTAATGTATGGTACAGTTTCTCAGACACGGGCGATGCTAGCGGGCTATCGTCTTCAAACGTAGATCGCAGCTCAGGATAAGCTTGTTGTGCGCCGTCGGCTTGAAGCCCAGGGCTGCGGCTTCGAGATTCCTTGTGTACCAAGCTCAGACGCCGTCCCAGCATCTGGGGAACGTTGGGTACGGACACGAGCCGGCCACGAGGTAGCTTGGGTACTCTAGGTGCATCTGCAGACGACACCTGCGACCGAGTCTCGGCGTGGTGGCTCGTCACAGGCCTCTCCGGCATGGCGCTCTCCTTTGGGGATGGCTGGTCTTCAACCGTGGACAAGGGACGTCCCGTGCGAATGTTTGACAGTTTACGCAGCGAGACCCGAGGTCCGACAGTGGTTGGCGATGGAGGGAGGCCACTTGGGTCCAGAGCAGAAGTGAGCTTGATGTATCGACGACCCACTTGTTGGATTGAGGAGGCACCAAAGCCATGAGTACCGCGGGGGTCGGAAGGAGATGGTGGCTCAGTTTTGACCCAAGGCGGAGAGGGGAATTGGCCGAGTTCGGACATGCCATCACCAATCTCTCCAATGAATGGCGCCATGGTCTGTAGCGACACTCGCCGGTTCATAATGACACTGCCGTTGGGCCTTGGCTGGGCAGTCTCTGGAATAGTGGTGATGTCTGCTGGCAGGGGAAATCTCTCGCGGATTGGGGAATCGGCTGGTGAAGAGGTGGTCGACGTCAAGATGGTTCGTTGGCCAGAGGAGAGGAGCGACAGCCGATGAGAGCTGTCCCGGAGGTTGTCTAGTTGGCGACCGTCGTGGGAGACGACGCTATTTGTTGTTGACTTGTCGTCACTGGTCATGTCATGGGTAACGGAATCGAAGTCGATGACGGGAATGGAATAATCGCAAACCCTTCGGCCATGGCCTTGTTGCAGGACAGGCGAGGGGTTTGCAGCAACGACTTGTGTCGATCGAATGGCTTCCTTGTCAATGAGGTTTCCTTGGCTTTTCTTTTCGCGAAGATAGATGCCGTCGAAGCTACTCTCCTTGGAATCGGTTTCCTTGCTATCAAATTCCTTGGGCAATCCAGCCTCTGAGAGGCTCCTTTTGCCACCAAGCTGCTCGATCATGGCGCGCAAACTCGTCATCCAGTCATCCATGTCCTCGGCGCTCTCAAAGACCATGAGCATATTGGACGTGTAGCGTTTTTCCGAAGTTCGAAAGGATAGTTTGGAAAGAAGAGACCGTGACTCGGTTGTAGATACTCTGTCGTCTTCTGTAGTCGCCGAAACCTGCAGCACCCAATGGCGACCCGGAATCAAGTCGGTGGCAAAGGCGGCCGACGACTTGCCCAGCCGCAGCACCTTCTCGGGCACTCTATCAATGGCTCCATCACCGGTATACTGAAGCAGATAGCCAGCTGTCGCAAGGATGTAAATCTTGGTCGTCCATGGGAGGTTCGTAGTGGATAGAGAATCGCCGCGGTTCCTTCTCCTGAATTTGTCACCAGTGCTAGTGCTGGCGGCGCCACCGCCGCTGCCGCTTACATTCATGTCTGTTTGGGAGAGAGGCGCAATAATCTCGACGCTCGTCTTTTCGCCCAGCTTCATAAGAGCCTCGATTGGCAGAGAAACGGCGGCAAGAGACTGTTGCTTGTGTGCCTGTTGGTAAGCCCGGAACAAGGTTGGTAATGTCCAAGTGGCGAGAGTCGGACGGGGCTGCTTGGCAATGCTCATGCCAGGCGTACGTTTTCCTGAGGAAGCAGCAGCAGCGGCGGCGGCGGCAGCGAGAGCAGCACCATTGGCAGGGCTGCGGGATTGTGCATCTCGGCCGTCGTCAGGCTTCTCGCGAGGGGAGTCCCACGGGTAGTTGGCCATGGGAAGGGCGAGTTCAGACTTGACCTGCTGTCCATACGGCCAGTTCATATCTGCGAGAGACGCTCGAAAGCCTCCAGATCGAGGAGATGCCTTGGCCGAGTTGAGCGAATTGAGCGAGCTGGGTGAGCGCAGGCTTTCCTCGCCCTTGTGTAGTCTGGAAGAGCGTCCGAAGAGGGTTCGAATGCCGAGTCTCGATTCTCGACGTCCAGGCTTGGCCGGTTTCGATGAGGCTACACTGTCGCTTTCACCTGAGAGGAAGGGAATCGGGGTATGGATTCTTCGAGGAAAAGGATTGTTGCCCTCGGGCGGCTCAGGTCTGCTGATGGGGGCCATGACGAAACCAAAGCCAGATAGCACACGACCGATTAGGCCTGCGATAAGTGATGAATTGCGTGTGCGTATAAGTGATTGGGAGGTTGGTCCTTGGAGTCAATGCTTGGTGGACCCATGAAATGTTGCCCAGTGAGTCGTTTGCTGTGGAGAAGCAACTGTTTCAGAGGAGAGGGTGAAGAGAGGGAAAAGTGGAAATGAATGTCTTTGAAGGCGTATACGAGTAATGCCGCAGCACCGACCAGCGTTGTAGGATTTGTACAGTCTTGTGTAGGAGGACTCCAAGGCAGTCTGAGGGAGGGAGTGGACGGAATCGATATAGGTAAGCTGGGACAATGCAAGCCGAGGCGTTGTATGTAGACGGCCTCGACGGGATATACAACCGGTAGCAAGCAGGACGGAAGCAATGTTTGGAACAAGATCCAATGTGGAGGGAATGTGGAGGGATTGCAAACAAGAGCAGAGCAGAGAGCAGAAAACGCACAAAGCACGGCAAAGGATTGTGTAGTTTGCTTCCTTCAAGATGGCATTGTGACGAGGGAGAAGGCCAAGTCAGTCAGTCATCCAGACAAGAGGTGGGACTGTGGGCTAGTAATAGTTGCAGCTTGACAAATGCAAGGCCGAGCACAGGTCCTGTACCTAGGAATTTAGTACGATACGATTCCTGGCCCGGCCAAATCAGAAGCTCAAGAGCAGAAGAAAAAAAACAGAGCAAAAAGAGATGTCAAAAAGGGTATCCACCGCAATGCATCTCGTCAAAAAGCTTTCACAAGGGCCGGGGACAGGGGTCGAGGGTTGAGGTTGAGGGGTGGGCCGGACGAGGTGCTGAACAGTGCGTGACAGGCGGGGGGACACCACTGAGAGAGCTAGCGGACTAGCAGGCACATGGAATGCTGTGAGAGCTGCGAGTCCAGGCGGCAGAGAATTTGATTGATATTGATGGATGGATGCATGTCCATGAGGCTATGGCTATGGCTATGGGTATGGCCGGCTTTGCGAGTACCGGTACTGCACAGGCCGAGCCGGAGCCAGGGCCAGAAGCCCAACTGCAGGAGGCCTGGGCTGACAGGATCGATGGATTACCTGTATATTGGATGTGTGGGTGACGGGAAGTTCCAGCGCCCCAGAGCCCAGCAAGTGCCGCCACTTCGCAAGTACCAGTACCAGTACCAGTACCAGTACCAGTACTTGACCTCATTGCCTGATTCGAGAGCCCAAGGTCTGGTTAATCAAAATCTAAAATCATTTCAAATCAAATGGAGCAAATCAAATTAAACACCGGTTGCCCGTGGCTGAGGCATTGAGTTCCTTGTGCCTGTGTCTGATACGCGCTAGGGCTGAGTAAAAAAAGGATTTGATGGATACAGGTCCAGTAGGATTTCATGACCATCCGTTACTACCTAGTAACACACGAGGTACTGTAGGTACTAAGGTAAAATCAATCAACGCTCGGCAGATTTTGCCCTTACATACTCGTACTACGGATACGCAGCACAGCACACATTCAGCTCAAGCACACCTGATTTTACTTTGTGACAGGTAACACGATCCATGGCAGCTGAGATGCTAAACTAACTACTACTACTACTACTAACAAAAGATGCTTGCCACTAGCTGCCCAGTCCTGCACAAGAGCATCATGAAATCTCGCCAAAATTTCAGCGCACACAACCAGCAGGCAAAAGAGTGCGGGGGGGCCCCAACACCAACCCAGACCACATGTGAGACCCAAGAGATTAATCATATTATTTACTAGTCATCACATTGTCTTTTTTCGCCTTCCTTTTTATTTTACTTTTTCTTAGCCAAAACTTGTCCCTCACGTTTTTCTTCTTTTGTTCAGGCCGCCAGGCATAGCGGGCGAAGATACCGACGATACGACGCCAACTCGCCCGCGCAGCCTTCTTCATTCCTACTTGGTGGTGTATTCTGCGAGCGAGTCAACCAACGATGCCGAGCCGGAATCATAACTTTGCACAAAGCATGACGTTCTGCTTGACCCGAGTGTCTTGCCGAGCAGCGAATCATAATCATGGCCGAGAGATTAGGACGCCTTGCAAAGCAACGACGCGACTCCTCTCCCCGCCAGAAAAAAGAAAAGAAAAGCATGTCTTAGGCAGGGGTACAAAAGGCGTCTAAAAGACGTACGAGTACCATTACGAGGACGGACCATCTTCCCCCGAGATGAGGGAGCCCAAGGACCCGGACATGAGCTGCCCCCAGCTTGCAGGCAATATCAGAGATCATCATGGACTGTCGTCAATCTCAACGCAAAACGGCACCGGCTCCCAGTTACTCGGGTCCCCCTTATTGCTGTTTCTATTATTACCAGATGCTGGCCTGGACGAGCATGCCCAGACGGAGTTGCAGGCTTCTGATCTGTCTCCGGCGCCTTGGGATGGCCCTGCTAGTGCTGGCGACTAGGGTTGCAATCTGCTTAGTAGCATCATGCTGACCCACGAGCTACCAGTAGGCCGACGGAGATCAGCGAGACAAAGCCAGGACAATAACCCAGGCTTTTTTTTTTTTTCGCTGGCGGCTCGGCCTAGCTGAGTCGTCTCAGCCCTCGTCCTCCGCTCCCGATTGGCGTGGAGCTCTGACTGAAGTGGGTGGGCAGCAAAAGAGGGCATCGCCGTAGGGCCGAGGCCACGCAGCGCTTCGATTGGCATAAAAAAGTAAAAGCCCTATCGCGGCACGCGGCTCGATCCCGATTCGACGATTTTGAGCCAGAAAACTTGCGAGCGCGCAAAGAGCTCCTGCAAGGCCAACGATAGTGCAAACCTTTTCTGCCGCTTCCAAGACACACAAAATGAGCACGCGTTGCTTCGCGTAGGGCAGTCATGGTATCATTTATGAACAATGAAGAGCGGCAGACAAAGTTTTTCCCTCTTATCCCCTCTTCCGTCGGACCGTCCACGAGCAGGGGTTGGTTGGGCCCATTGTGGGTAATGCGTTGAAACGGGCAATCGTGGAGATCGAGCACAATTCAAGGAACTTCCGGCTTCCTCACCTTATTCATTCCAAGTCTTTCCATCGCCCAACTACATAGCCTCGATAAAAATTGGGGCCCAGTGCCAAGTTCGATAGGCATTTGCCAGTTGGCCATGGTATCTACCGTACGGGGTGCTTCGTAGCACAGCACGTCACCTTACAGATACGAACGAACCTCTCTTCTGCATACCGTGTTGTGTTGTGAGATCTCGAGGCGCGTGGGCGATACGTCGAGATGATTCGCCCACAGCTCCAGTCCGTGAGCCTAGGGGGGTGCTATCAGATGCTCGCAGATGCTGTCCCAACTTACCCGATGCTACAGACCATACACGGTGCAGATCAACGGCCGCCTCGTGATGCAAGTCTCACGCAGACTTTGCCCTCTTTCGGTTCTTACGAGATGCAAGGGATTGATCCACTTGAGGCAGAGAATCAAAACCACGACCGTGACCGCGACGGTTACGCGCAAGGTTTGGATCAGTGACTGACGCGGCCGTTGTTTGTCATCAAGAGCCACGGAGTTCAATGGCCCTCAGGCCCGCGGTATTTACTGAGTACTGAAGCGCTGTGCTCGCACTCATGGCATGGGGCAATGTTCCTGCAGTAGCGCGTGATGTGCAAAACCTCTGTGCGTGCAGCTTGCATGATGCTAGGATGCAAGAGCCACTGCAGCCTGTTGGGCTGAGCCTCCTGAATCCTGGCATGGCTTACAGTACAATATGGATGCTGAGCCCGTAAGCAGCAGGCTTTTTCAGTCCCTTGCTTTGCTGCCCGTGTCGCGAAGTATTGAGAGCCCATTGATGAGATATCGCAACATCGGGCGATTGGTCGTTTTCTCGCACAGAACAACGAGATATGCAGCATTACCCGACATACTCGTACGAGTATCGTACATGTGTGTGAGTCGTTATGCGGCCAACAAGAGTGGAGATTATACTTGGCAGACAAACTAACTCTTGATGTTTGTTTCTTCTTCGGCTTCAATCGCAGTATGAGCACCAGGAGAGCTGGTGAATGCTCAAACCACTACCGCAGATTACCGATTTGATTTAAAGTCTCGATTTTATGCCTCCGCGCGGCTTGGGCACGATCGAGCCCTGGCCACGATGATAAACGCTTTGGCCGCCGATTGACGAGGCAAGAGGCCACGCGGGTTTCAGTGCGATTCTTTGACCCTGGCCGTCATAGCAAACCGGACAGACGCCCGAGATCCTGATGAAACACCCGCGATAGCTTTACTTGATTGTCATTTTTACACATGGAGGACAGAACAAGGTAGAGCCATCAGCGCCGTCATCAGCTTGTCGTATTTTATTCCGTTTGCGGATTCTCGGTACAGCGTCGCGACTCAAGCGAGTAGGCATCTACAGCATCCTACACATGCGCATGGACAGCGGAGTACAAGAGCACTTGCCATCAAGCCGCAGGCCTCAGCTGTCAGGCACTTCCCGGAACACATACGCACAAGCACAGGGCTAGCTCCCTGACGCTTCATCAGCTGGGCGCGGCCATGAGCCATTGTCAGCAGAAACATTTTCCCATTCGGGCAGAGGCATTGTCCTGCACGGGCCACGGTAGAAACAGAGCTCTGAGAGCCAGGGACGAAGGATCAAGGCCTTGCCGTGCTGCTGGAATCCTGAATGCTACTCTGTAATAATAATAGTAAGTTGTAGATGGTATCAAGCACATGGGGAGCTTGCAAGTGCGATTCATGACGGGCGTCCTCAAACCGGTCCCCTTGGCAACAAGCCGTGCATCAGATACCTGTACTCTGGAAGCTCTTTTATTTCCTTTTCTGAATCTTGGCTTTTATGAAACCAAATAGACGATTACATAGTCGGCATTCCAGCTGAGGATTCTACTAAGCATAGACAATCTGGGGAGGTTAATTTAGCTCAGACATCCATTGATGTTTATGCTGCTTCCCGGGTCTACATTACACAGATGTTCCAGATACTTAGCAATGCAATTGTGAGAACAGGCTGTGTTTGTTGAATGCCCGTGACTCATCCAATCCATTTTCACTGGCAGACATCGCCAACAAGCTCCATTTCACTCCCACGGACACGTATTCCCTATACGTCAGCCAAAGTGCTCATGCTCAACAACCAGAGGCATATCTCATTTTTTTTTTGGGTGTCAATGGCGGTCAAATGCAGGTCCTCCCCGTTCATCTCATCCATCCCCAAGCCGATCTCCTGCAGATTCATCAAAATGTTGAGCTTTCGGGGTGGCGTCTGGGAGTAGCCGGATAGCCTACTGACCAGCCCCGATCGGGCATCCAAGGGGACTACGGGCCGGCAAGTTTCCCAATGTCCCGAGAATGAACCCAATGGCAGTTTTGTACGTCAGGTCATGGAAGCTGACAAGCTGGATCGATTCGTCATGAGGCTTGCGGAGATGCAAAGTTCTCCCCCACTCCAATCCGGGGGAGAGAGGCTTTGGCAGCGGCTATCCGGTTGCGTAAAGTTGGGTTGCCGAAGGGTGGTGCCTTTACGGGTTGGGCATTGAGTGTATTGGATGTGGCAAGTTGAATGAAGAATGAGATAAGGTATATATAGCGTCGAGGTAGTGGTGGTTTTGGGTTGCTGGAATGCGTGACACTTACAAAGCCAACAAACCGTTGAAGCAACAACATAACCGTTTAAAGACCGCAACAATGTCCGTCGTTCAGCCACAGGAATACCAGACAGTCGACGACGTGCCGTATCAGCGAGGGTAAGCATATCCATCACCAGCCCTGTCATCCATCTTGCTATCCCCGTTGTTCCATCACATTCCAGGCATTGCAGTAGCTTTCACCTAGGCATAATCAAAACCTTGCAACATTTGATACTACCAACATCACAAAGGCTAACAAACCGTCCCTTGTCAATGTTCTAGCCGTCCTCTCCCAACCGTCACCCCCGTCTTCCAGAACAAGCTGCCCAACTCGCCCGGCAAGACGTCCATCGGCCTCCTCGTCGACTTCCCCCCCAACTCGTCGACGCCCCCTCACACGCACGGCGGCGCGGCCATCTCCGTCTTCGTCATCAAGGGCACCGTGCTCAACAAGATGAACGATGGCCCGACTCGTGTGATCCCGGCGGGCGGCACGTGGTTCGAGGCTCCCGGCTGCCACCACCGGACCAGCGACAACTTCAGCACCACGGAGCCGGCGCAGATCCTGGCGACGATGGTGGTTGACACAAAGACCGTTGAGGAGGGGGGAATGGCGGCTCTTGTTGTGCTCGACCCGGAGTATGCTGATATCAGGCTTGGTTGAATTGATTGATATGCTGCAATGAAGAAAACGGGAAGCTCGGAAAGGGTGTTGGTGTTGCCGATATCAGGACTGGTCAAGTGAATAGGTGGCAATGAAGAGCAGGGGAAGATCGGGTTTCTGTTCTGTTAGTAAACGGGGAATCTCATCAACAAGGCAAAATGAATATGTAAAAAAATCAATAATCAATAGTCCCAAATCGTTTTGACAAACTAGAGTGTCCCCATGATGTCGGAGGACATCAATTGAGTTACGCTCGCCGTACCTCCATTCGGAATTGGATCCATGATCGAATCAATATTAAGCGGTCCAGTGCAGGTCCCCTGTGGCGTCACTGCGGTCTCGTCGCTACCCCCTTGTAATTCCGCCCCCCGTAGGTCCCGAGGCTGGAAACGCCACAGCGGCTTCAGGCGTCTCCCAGCACCGCCGTTGGCTGCTACCGGGCATTTCTCCAGCGATCTGATGACGCCCCAAGTCACTGGGCCTCTCTTCGAGGCGAAGAACCTTGTGAAGGCATCGGGGTGGTACGAAGCCTCGAACCACCGCCCGGCCATTTTGCGTTTTCGCCTCCAACGTTGATCAGCGGCACATCACGCTGGACGCAAACCTTGTGCTCCTGCATATGCCATTGACCGAACCAGCGCTGCTCTTAATACTGTACGCACGCCCCCCCCCTCCGCCTCAGGTCATCGATTCGATTCACCATGGCAGCGTTCGCTTCCGGCCATTGCTTCAACAACTCTTGACTCATCCTCCAACTCCACCATTGTCCTACAACAAACACTTCAACTGCTTTTAATCCTCCCGCGCGTCCTCCATCCATATCCATGCTCAGCTACGGTATACTAAAGAAGCCACTTGGACACCTGGACGACCTGACGATACGGATACTTTGCGTCGCAATCAGCCCTACCTAGCAAACTCTACGCTAGGCTACCTACAGTTTTTTCTTTTTCTTTTTTCTTTCCACGTCTCCAGCTCCCAGCTTGATATTGAAACCTTGGGGAACACTGGAGCAAACAGACCAGGCCAGACCTCTTTTGTAACCCTTCAATCCGTCTTTGCGAAACGAAAACAACAAACATTCAAGTCCGGTTTCACGCTCATCCGCATCGCCGAATTGCACTGAACCTGCCCACTACAGCGATGGCGGCCAACGGTGACGTCTCTTCCGTGCCCCGCTCCGAGTCCCCCACTGGATCGCCTCGATCCGCGTCCATTTCTTTGCATGCCGCTGCCGCTATGAATGCCGGCCTCCAACGAGAACCCTCACGCAGTAAGTCGGAATCAGCCGATCTGCCTCTCCCGGCTAAAAAGCTTGTCCATCGACTGCGCTTTTTCTCTCCTTGCCCGCACCGCCCAAAGCCCTGTCCTCACCACTCTAACTCGCCGTTTAGGATCGTCCAACAGCTCCCTAGCTCGCAGCCTCGCATCCCCGCCCAGCCGCCGACGGTCAACCATCCTGATGAACCTCCAGCTAAACGACCCTGCGGTGCCGGCGCCGGGCGAGATGTTCCAAGAGCAACATATGAGGGTGAGCCCGCAGCCTTATGGCGGCGGCGTCCCGCCAGAGTCGAGCCGACATATCAGGACGCCGAGTTTGGGCGAGCTTCATCAGGAGCTCGAGGCAGAGCAGGAGGGCCATGTCGTAAGCAACAATCACCACATCTCTTTCTACTGAATACTACTGGGTGGGAAGAGCAGGCATTAACGAGACTTGACATTTGCAGAATCGCCTTTTGAACATGATTCGACAACAGCAGCTGGAGCTTCAACGTCTCCAAGCCAACCATCCGCATGCAGCTGGCGGAGACGAGAGTGCGACCGCGAGCGTTGCTGGCTCCGAGAGGCCACACCGGTCGCTGCCCGTCCCCATCTCGACCCAGTCCCCGACCGGAAACCATGTGCCATCCATCTCTGGCTCTTCCTTTTCTCGATCGCCCATCTTTCCTCACCACCGCAACTCCATGGAGATGGCTCGCGCCGACATGCAGCGCCGGTCCAGGACGCCAAGCCGAAACGCCTCGCCTCGGCTGCGGGCGACTTCCATCAGTGCCGAGAGCGGCGACTGGTCTCTGTTCCGCGACGAAAGTGCCTTTTACCAGGCCGAAACGCAAATGCTGACCCGCGAGAACCAGATGCTCCGGCATCGAATTCGGGAACTGGGTAAGTTTCGTCCACTGCTGCCTAAATATACTCTAAAAGGACAAGTGAGAGAAGACGAAATGCATAAGCAGATGCTAACACCCATGCATAGAAAAGCAAGTCTCTGAAATGACCAGCTCTCCCGTACCAAACGAGCCGCCGGTGTCCTCAAACCTTACTCGATCGTCGACCTCGGCCGAGGAGAGCGAATCTGTGTCCAGGGCAGCATAGCCGCACCCCGTGTGTCAATTCACCGCTATGCGGCGACGGTTACGATTGCCAGCCCTGTGGAAATTGTCAAGTTGCTTTGAAAATTGGAGGCCGATTTGTAAAACTATTGGGCCGCATGCTTTGATTCTTATGCGAGGTTTTGCAACATGGTAGCAGGTTGCTTTTTTGGCTGGCGTCTAGGAGATGGTTTCTAACAAAACCAATCGGGTTATAATATCAATGGTCTTTTTCCCCTTTTGCTAGATGAGTTTTTTTTTTTTTGCTTTTCTTTTTTCCTCTTCGTAGTGATATCGACAGACTGTGAGATGGGCCGTTGCTGAGCTGCAATCCGAATCATGCAGCCATGCTCCGTGCTTCAGCGAAGGCCATCGAATTCGTCTGAGGATTGATAATCAAGCTCGATTCTCACAAGAATCACCAATAAAAACATGTTGCAAATAAAAGGCATATCCGGCTATTCACATTTGATTTTCTCATCAGCATTTCGTCGGGCATGATGGCCTTTTGCCGGTCACAATCTGGGGTCAATGTGGGGCCCCAGCTTTTCTTTCTGAATGAAGCTTCTCTTGGAAGCTACTAACCCACCTCATATAGCCGACTTACCCTGAATCAAAACCACATCAAACCCCGTTCTTATTCATCTGCATTTGTTTCTTGTTCATGTGCAGTTGCAAAGACGATAGACAAGATGCTGGCAAGGAGGGCAGCAAGATTGATTCCTCTGTCCAGCCAGACTCGGCACGTCCAGGCTCTGAATTTCAGCTCTACGGCGTCCGTCCAGGCTGATTTCACTCATGCGGCAAGTTGTCTCATATCACCTCACATACTAGCTGTCATAGATTTCACACCATCTCAATTCAATAACACACACACACACACACACACACACACACACAAGATGCAGCCAAACTCAATCGCTAACATAATCCCCACCTCAGGTCATCGGCGGCGGCGTCGTCGGCCTCGCCGTTGCCCGCCAGCTCTCCCTTCAGCCCGGCACCTCCACCGTGCTCATAGAGCGTCACTCCGCCGTCGGCACGGAGACCAGCTCGCGCAACAGCGAGGTCATCCACGCCGGCATCTACTACGGCAAGGACACCCTCAAGGCGAAGCTCTGCCTCCGCGGCAAGGACCTGCTGTACGGGCTCTGCGACAGGCACGGCGTCGCCCACAGCAGGACGGGCAAGTGGCTCGTCGCCCAGAACCACGCGCAGAGGGAGGCCCTGGAGAGGATCCACGCCCTTTGCGCCGACGAGATTGGCGTTGCGGTGAGATGGGTGTCTGACAGGGAGGTCCGCGAGCGCGGCGAGGGCGTCCTGGCCAAGGCCGGCGCCCTGGAGAGCCCGACGACGGGCATCGTCGACTCCCACGGCCTGATGCTCTGCCTGCAGGGCCTCTTCGAGGACGCCGGCGGCATCGTCGCCCTGAGCTCCCCCGTCGTGGGCGTCCGCCCGCTCTCCCAGGGAGGATCCTCGCCCCCGGGCAGCGCGGGCTGGGAAATCGACGTCTCGGACGGGCCCGGCGGCGACGTGTCCACCCTGACGGCCGAGACGCTCATCAACGCCGCCGGTCTCGGCTCCGTCGCCGTCCACAACATGATTGTGCCCTCCTCGCAGCGCAGGCAGCTCTTCTACGCAAAGGGCAACTACTTCTCCTACTCGGCCTCCCGCCCCAAAATCTCCCGCCTCATATACCCGGCCCCCGAGCCCGGCGCCAGCGGACTCGGCACACATCTCACCATCGACCTGGCCGGACGGATCCGCTTCGGCCCGGACGTCGAGTGGGTGGACGACCCCAACGACCTCACCGCCAACGCCTCACGGCTGCAGCAGGCCGTTGCCGAAATCCAAAAGTATCTCCCGGAAGTCGATGCCGGCGCCCTGGTGGCCGATTACGCAGGTATGCGGCCCAAGCTGGCCTCCAAGGGCGCGGCGTCGGCAACGGACAAGGGTTTCGAGGACTTCATCGTCAGAAAGGAGCAAGGGTACGAAGGCTGGGTTAATCTGCTGGGCATCGAAAGCCCTGGGTTGACAAGCAGCCTTGCCATAGCAGAAATGGTGCATAGGCTTCTACACGGCCAAGCGAGCACATAGGATATATATCACTTACATCTCACGCCAATGAATTCCGTCATCACAATACCATTAATGAAAATTTAAACAGAAGAAAAAGGAGAAAACCATGCAATTTCCATATTTAGACCGGATATCATACACAAGCAGGAGAAAAAAAAAGAATCCTGCAGCAAGTCTGCAGCGACATGTGGACTGGAAACCATCCAGATTTTGGCCAACAGGGCATCAGAAAGCAAAACGGCGCGTTGAAGAATAAATAAAAGCATACTCCCACCCCTGCGCAGATCAATTATTCCATGCCAAAGAGTTTTGAAAAAAAGGAAACAAGAGGAAGGAGAAAAGAGCCATGTAAGAAGGAAATGAGAAAAAAAAAAGACAATGTCAATGCCCAAACACCCAGCTCGGTTCCGTTTCGTAAACCATGTCATCCCAGAAACTATTAAAAAAGAGTGAAATAAAATGGAAGAGGAAAAATAGGAAGAAGAGGAAAAAGAAGAAGATGACGAGGCGAGTTTCCAAAAAAAGAAGAAGAAGAAGAAAAAGCAAACAGAGGCACAAAGAGGGTCCTGGTAACTTTTCCCTGGGTTGTCCAAATTGGGCAACATTGTCGCGCCCAGACACTGAAAGCCACAAATGCCAACGCCAATCAATCCTTGCTGTACTTGCAAAATGCATTAATCTGTGACGATACAGAGTCCTTTGCGATGAAGCCTCTCTCATTTCCTTCCTTGGTAGAGGGTGCTGCTTTAGCGTAGGGTTATACTGTTGCAAAACCGTCTGGCAGAGAGGTCAACACGTAGCTGGTAGATGCCATTCTGAGCACCAATGAAACTAAAGAGGCCATTTGGCGTTAGAGTCTGTTTTTATAGTATAATCATGTAGGAAGAGCAAAATAAGCCATTGGTCAAGACTTACAGTACGGTGCCGTCCTGGCTCCACGAGAGCCCCGATGTGTTGTCCGGTGAGGGAGGAACCTCAAAGACACCGTGGTCTGGCGCCAGCGTCCCTCGTACGGCGCTCTCCCTCTCCTCCCAGCGACTGGCCGCCTGAGGGGGAAGAGTCGGGCGTTCTTCAGAAGTGCTGGCGTCTGCCGGGGGTCGTTCCCGAGCCTGAAGAATCTCCAGAACGGAAAGATACGACGAGTCTTGCCTGTCTCGTTGGTCCCGCAGGGCAGCCATGGTTTCGTTGATACGATCGATCCACCGCTGTTCAGCCCGGCCGCCACCGCCTTGGCTAGTTTCACGCATAAGCTGGCGGGCATTTCGCACGCGCTCTTGGGCCCGTTCCCGATGGTCTCTGTAGAGATTGAGCAAGTCGTTGGGAGTCTGAACCGTGCTTCCACGGGCTCGGGTGGTGAAGGAAGATGTTGCCATGGGTGTGGCACCGGTTCCTCCTATCCAGCCCGTCGCAGCCGCGGATCCTCCGTTGCCTCGCTCGTCGCCGGGTTGAGCGTTTGGCCTCTCTCGGCGCCGACGCTCGCTCTGAATGGCTTCAAGAACTCTAGTCTCGGCTGGCGTCAGTGGCTGGTGAAGCATCCCAGCGCTGAAGAAATTGGCCGCTGAAATAGGAGGGTTCAAGGGCTCCCCCCTCGTCATGCGCGTTTCCAGCAATCGAGGGTCAATGGTCTGGGTATCAAATATATTGATATGCTCATACTCAGACTCTTTGTTGAGATCAATAATCTGCCGAACCATGAAGTTGTGTCTTACGTCGGCGATGCCAATGCGGCCGCGATCCTCGGTCCACGCCAAAAGATCATACGGTCCCGGGCAGAAAGCCATGTCTCGAATGGCTCCTGGTCCGCTGTTGGGCCGCGAAGACTGGAAAGTCGTGATGAGTGGGTCAACCGTCTCGTCGGTCAACTGCGTGGCGTTGAATATCGAAATGGTGCCGTGCTGAGTTCCAATGGCGAGGTAGCCGCCAGACGAAGAAAAGGACGCCGCGAAACTCCCACGGCTATCCGTCTTGTCGTCCTTTTTCTGGCTTTTGAGAAGGATCCTCTGCTTGAGTTCCCACTTGCCCGGGAAGGCTCCAACTCGCTGGTGGACGTATAGATACGGGTCATCCAAGATGGCGACCAGGAGTCGCCCGTCAGGTGATATGATGGCCCTGTTGACGAAGTCGGGGTAGCGGACAACGTCCAGGGGTTCGGTAAGCTCTTTTTGCTCAAAGTCAACCAGGCTGACCAGCGTCACGGTTCGATCATTGTTGGCGAGAACTGCCACGGGCTCCGTGTAAGCACGGGCACCAATGGGCAAACCTTGCCCGCCGGGAGGAGGAAACCAGAGGGTGATGCAATTGACCCGCTCCTTAGCAAGCTTCATGCTCTTTGCCGTCACCTTGGCTGATTGTTGAGCAGCAGCGGTAAGCATATTGAGCGCAGCTTCATCGGGCGAGGTCGTGGAGCTCTCGTTGCCCGGAGAAGGCCCAGTATCAGAATCTGAGCTAGCAGCTGTGTCCTGGGGGTTTTCGATGGCACCACCTCCTTCTCCCTCAAGCCTTATGGCCACAAACTCGCCCGTCTCGCTTCCGCAGCACAGCCAACCATTTTCAGCGACCAAACACCGCGGCGCAAATGTAAGGTGCTTGATCGTTTCGCAGCTGCGAGCTAGGGTGTTGAGCCGCTGGATCTGGCGGCTTCCAACTCCACCGGGATAAAAGAGGTTGTGTTTGTTTTCGGCACTTATGAGGGACCGCAGCTGCCAATGTCTAGAAGGAGATGAACCACACTGATTAGCAAATGTAGATGAATAACTGCGGAGAGTCGGATAGCTATAGCCATGTCTTGGACATACTGTGAGCGGACAGGGACCCGGAAGTGCGTTCGGTGACTCCTGGAGATGAGGCGATCGGAGGTATAGTATCTGCATAGGTAACCATCCAACATGGAAATGATTAGCAACAGCACATCAACGGAGCTTGGGCAGCACAACGGGGGGGGGGGGTTGGCTCACGAGACATCGTCCTTGCGAGCCATAGTAGCGTCGTCGACCGGCAATTCGTCGCTGCAATGAGTTGGGGCTCAATGGCCAAGGGGGTTAGCTGCGTTGCAGCACCCAAAGGGGGCAGCCAGGCACAGGCAAAGGCTGGAAGCACACTTGGAGTGGTGGTGATGATGGGATGCTGTGGTTGAGTGCGTCGAGAAGCGCCGGGAAGCCGAGTCAATGCCCCAAGCAGAGGGAGTGTCCGGTATTAGAAGTGCGAGGATGCTGATGCGAGATGCGGGTTGAAATGGGCAAGAGGGGAGGGGAGGGAGATGGCGTGAGGAGAAGGTCGTGATGGGATTGGGTTCTGAGCAAGAAGCAAAACAACGGGCTGAGATGGAGACTGGTGGCTTATTCCCAGCACAGTCTGGACGTGCGACCCGTGGAGTTGCACGTACAGCGGGCGTACAGGGTACTTTCAGGCTGCATGGGCGCCTTATCGCCCCCAGCAAGGCCGCTGCAACGGCGCACAGGTACCCTGTACCTGAATCCAAGTCGGAGCAACAGCGCTATGGCGGCTCCCCGGATAGCACATTGACAATGGGTGAGAGTGGAGTGGGCAGATGACGTCTGGTCTTGTCAGTTCGATGATTCACTGACACTGACACTGACACTGACATGAAGCTTTTCTGGTGAGAAACAGAGTTGCCCTACTACCTACCTAGTAGGTAAGCATTTAAACACATACGCACGCCGTAATCGATACGAGTCGGTTACGGATACTCGACGAAGCCCTGGAGAGGATTTGAATTTGCGGTCTGAGGCTGCAAGACGAGGGTGTGTGCAACGGGCTATGGATGGCTGCAGTGCATATGGTCTACTGAATGCAAGTAAACTTGGGGGCATCCATTGGTCTTTGAGTACCCGATCACCACCTAAGACTCTAAAGGATATTGCATCCATCAAATTGATCAATGGACCGCTTCCAACGCCGTGCATGCATAGACTGGATTCTGGACCTGTCGAGGATCCCTGCAAAGTATCCGATACCTCAGTTGCTCAGGTAGCAGAGCGTCAAGCATGCATCGTAAGGAAATTACAGGTCATTATCAAGCAAGTCAGTTGGTAGCACCAAGGATGGACTACCCAGCAGGCAATAAAACGTGCATCAATAGAGCGTGGCGAGCATCCATCCTGTTTCACGCCACCGGGATGCTATAGTGTTTGCTACTTCTCCGTAGGGGGATGGGTGCTACGAGGTACAGGTATAGTAGGTAACACCACCGAAAGCAAAGGGAGAGATGAAAAAAGGGAAACAAACATTAAGAAAAGAACAAGAAGAAGAGGTTAAGAAAGGGATATGGAACTGGTAGGGTCATCGGACACACCAGCTATGCAGCGGGGTTTGCATTTGACAGTTGAGGATTGTTTTCTCTTCCAATGGATCCCGTTTTGGTGGGTTGCGGCGCTGCTTTGGCTGAACCTTTCTTTTATGTATTGACACCAAGGCTATGCCGGAGCCTTGTCACCGCCAGAATGGAAGCTGTCCAAGCTTGACTTAATCGACTCTGGATACCTGGAGTCACAGTACCTTAGTCACAAGACATTATAGATGGAGGATACCTCCGTGTAGATGAAACTTCCGCCTTGAGCCGATCGTAGCCTGAGCCATGGCCAGCATTTACCGATGCTGCTCAGCTTCTCTCGTCCTCCCGCGGTCCGTGATGGCCTTGGAACCTCCCGCCAACAACGATTCAGCCCCCACCGGATTCTTGCAGTGATCCATCAAAATTCTCTTCCTGCTACAGTACGAGTACAGCGCCAGAACTCGTTGCAATATCCTTCTCCGCATGTGCCGCCCGGACTAACTCTTGTTCCGCCAGTGCCGGCGCGGCGGGTGGGACCGGGATTGCGGGACTGCCTGTTGCCTCTTTCTCTCGGCTTCTATGGCCGACGGTCGCAGCACAGAGCGGTTTTTCCAAGGCTAGAAAAAAAAAATTCGCTTCTCTCCACCATTTCCCTCTCCAGCTGTCCATCCAGTCTTCTCCATATCTAGACACCTCTTCCCAGATCGCGTGTCTCCCCTTTCCCTCTTTTCCTCTTCTTCCCTGTTTATCCATTGTATACCCTCAATTCCATTCGACATGTTGGCTGCGCGATTCTCCAGAGCTGTAAGTGGACACAATGCCGAGCAATCTGCGTCGTCATGAATGCCCTGCTAACGTGCCTCCGAATAGCTTCCCCGAGCTACTCCCATTGCCGCTCGCTCGGCTGCCTTTGCCAGAACACCTCTCGTCTCCAAGTTTGCTCGCTATGAGTCAACAGCTGCTGAGGGCGATGGCAAGGTCCAGGGTTCCGTCATTGGTATCGACCTGGGAACCACCAACTCCGCCGTCGCCATCATGGAGGGCAAGACACCCCGCATCATTGAAAACTCAGAAGGTTAGTAGCCCTTCCCACTGCCTCCTCGCACCGTCCAATTTTGGCTTACAAGATGACGTCCAGGTGCCCGTACCACCCCTTCAGTAGTTGCCTTTGCCGAGGATGGCGAGCGACTGGTTGGTGTTGCTGCCAAGCGACAGGCCGTGGTCAACCCAGAGAACACCCTCTTCGCCACCAAACGATTGATCGGTCGCAAGTTCAGCGACGCTGAGGTCCAGCGTGACATCAAGGAGGTGCCCTACAAGATCGTCCAGCACTCCAACGGCGATGCCTGGGTCTCTGCTCGTGACCAGAAGTACTCTCCCTCCCAGATTGGTGGCTTCGTTCTCAACAAGATGAAGGAGACTGCCGAGGCCTACCTGTCCAAGCCCGTCAAGAACGCCGTCGTTACCGTCCCCGCTTACTTCAACGATGCTCAGCGTCAGAGCACCAAGGACGCCGGTCAGATTGCCGGTCTCAACGTCCTCCGTGTCGTCAACGAGCCTACCGCTGCCGCCCTGGCCTATGGCCTGGAGAAGGAGGCCGACCGCGTTGTCGCCGTCTACGATCTTGGTGGTGGTACTTTCGATATCTCCATACTGGAGATCCAGAACGGTGTCTTCGAGGTCAAGTCCACCAACGGTGACACCCACCTTGGTGGTGAGGATTTCGATATCCACCTGGTCCGCCACATGGTTGGCGAATTCAAGAAGACTTCTGGTCTCGACCTTGCTGGCGATCGCATGGCTATCCAGCGTATCCGTGAGGCTGCTGAGAAGGCCAAGATTGAGCTTTCTTCCTCTCTCCAGACCGACATCAACCTGCCCTTCATCACTGCCGATGCTTCCGGCCCCAAGCACATCAACCTGAAGCTCACCCGCTCTCAGCTTGAGAAGATGGTTGAGCCTCTCATCAACCGAACCATCGAGCCCGTCCGCAAGGCCCTCAAGGATGCTGGCCTCCAGGCCAAGGACATCCAGGAGGTCATCCTGGTCGGTGGTATGACCCGTATGCCCAAGGTTGCCGAGTCGGTCAAGTCCATCTTCGGACGCGACCCCGCCAAGTCCGTCAACCCCGACGAGGCTGTCGCCATGGGTGCTGCCATCCAGGGTGCTGTTCTCTCTGGTGAGGTCAAGGATCTCCTTCTCCTCGACGTCACCCCCCTGTCTCTCGGTATCGAGACCCTGGGCGGTGTCTTCACCCGTCTGATCAACCGAAACACCACCATCCCCACCAAGAAGTCCCAGGTCTTCTCCACTGCCGCCGACTCCCAGACCGCTGTCGAGATCAAGGTCTTCCAGGGTGAGCGTGAGCTCGTCCGTGATAACAAGCTGCTCGGAAACTTCCAGCTTGTCGGCATCCCTCCTGCTCGCCGTGGTGTTCCTCAGATCGAGGTCACCTTCGACATTGACGCTGATTCCATCGTCCACGTCCACGCCAAGGACAAGTCCACCAACATGGACCAGTCCATCACCATTGCTTCCGGATCTGGTCTCTCCGACAACGAGATCCAGCAGATGGTTGAGGATTCCGAGAAGTACGCCGAGTCTGACAAGGAGCGCAAGTCTGCCATCGAGTCCAGCAACCGCGCTGACAGCGTCCTGAACGACACCGAGCGTGCCCTCGACGAGTACGCCGACAAGCTCGACAAGGCTGAGGCTGACGGTCTCCGCGAGAAGATTGCCTCTCTCCGCGAGTACGTCTCCAAGATCCAGTCCGGTGACAGCACTGCCACCGCCGCCGAGATCAAGGAGAAGACCGATGAGCTCCAGGTTGCTTCCCTGAACCTCTTCGACAAGATGCACAAGGCCCGCAGCGAGAGCTCCGAGCAGCCCTCCTCCGGCGAGCAGTCTACCGAGGGCGAGAAGAAGGATGAGAACAAGCCTTAAGGTGGGCTTGGAGAGAGAAAGCGAAGAGCAAAGCGAACAAAAATCTCATTGAAAAAAAATTTCTCAAAAAACCACTTGTATCAAAACCACATTTACTGTTCGAATATTCCAAAGAAGCGTGGGGCGTGGCATAGATCCCTCTTCTTTCTGTATTTATGATGTACTCATATCCCGCCTAAGCTGCTATGCAATTGCCTATTTTTTACCAATGTCGTTAATACCTTTGGCTGGCGGAACAGGCGTTGGAGCATCAAAAAATTTCTCTAGGAGGTGTTTTTTCCTTCCTTGATTCTATTTTCTTTTCTTGGTTTGAATGATTGATTGGACGGTCGCAAAGGGATCAAAATGCGCCTTGGGGGTATGGACAAAGGGACAAACGAAAAAAAAAAAAGAGAAAAGAGACCTTTGGTAGTTAGATGATAATGATTTTCTCCCCTCTTAAATTTTTTTTTTAATTTTGAAAATTTCCAATACCTTGATCCATTCCTTCTCATGATTGTGATTCTATAGCCATGTCTGTGGATTCTATGACATAAGTAATGTCATTGCCGTGTGATGCTTCTATCCTTAAGCCATCCACCCCCAAGACGTATTCAACGTGTTGATTCCATGCCAATGGATTGCACCTCCATATACATTATCGTGTCGTGGTGTGACCATTTCAACACCATTCGCTGGTGGTTTGCTACTTTTCTCTGCTGTAAGTAAAGGCTGCTGTAAATCGTCGAAGCGACTCTCGTTGACTGCCCTCTGAAGATCTTTGCCTGGCCGCACAACAAGATTCTTTGAAAAGCAGGATTGATCTAGAACCATCTCCTGCGCTGGTACGGAGGCATCGTCTCGGTGCTGGAGGTGCTTATGACGGTTGTGCCTCGTGGCGTTGCAGAAGACGAAGAGTGTGAGGCAAACAATGATTGACACGCAGAGGAAGATGGCAATGGCTGGGGGTATGATATCTGCGTCTTGGATGGGTTTGGGCGAGGGGGCATGGTAGAACGGGGATCGGTAGCCTGGAGCCATGAGTGTTGGTGGTAGAAAAAGATGGGATGAGGAAAAAAAGAGGCATGAGATGTCACGATTGGATTTTAACCAAAGCTACTTCTTAAGACGAGAATACTACTAATATAATGGCCATCACGACCGACAAGGCATTTGAACCTTCCGCGTGCTTCTCGTGTTTGCTGTGGGCGCAAAAGGGTCTGATTGCGCCGATTCTCCCTTGAATTACAAGTTTCATTCCAGAGGCGGACCTGTGCTCTCGTAAACGTGACTACCCGCGTCCTACTCCGTACACCATGACCAATTCGCAGGGGCAAACCATTTGTGAGACAGTGCGCCTCAGTCACGATACGTATTCGCACAGGCAGAGAGGCAGAGGAACAAATGGTCACCAGACTGCATGTCACCAAGCGTGGAGGAAATAGGAGAGGCGCTGTCATAAGGAGAAGCCGGGAATCATTAGAAAGAGTATTTTGTTGTTTTAGCATTTTAGTGCAAGATACAACACGTGTGCACCAGCATCATCACCTCCCAAAGCCAAACCAGCCTCTCTTGGTCGGCTGGGCAGGCTGCTCAGATTCCTGGGCGCCTTCGACGGCTTGCCTGCCCTCGGCCACCTGGGGCTCCTTTCCTGGGTAGTGGATGTAGTTCCACGCAACGTCGAGGAAGATGGGCTTGACTGGAACCACCTCTTCTCTGGGAGGAAAGTCGACAATGTGTTCGAGATCGGCCCCGCCGACGGGGTATTCATGCAGCTTCTCGACAAGGGGAACGTGACTTTCGTACTCGTCGACCTTGGTTTTCTTCTTCCGCAGGTTGTCGACGTGGACAATGGCGCGGTGGCGCTGCAGCTCGCCATCAATCACCTGTTCCAAGAACTTGACGGAAGCAGGGGAAATGTCGAGGCTCAAAGGAGCTTCATCGGAAAAGGACTGTGCGTTTGGAAGCTTGGCCACAGCTTTTAGGCTGAAACCCAGAGCGCTATTGATGAGGGCCAAGGCATTTGCAGAGTTGCCAATGATGGCATGTGACCGGGCGATTGCGAGGTGCCTATATATCCTCGTTAGCTATCGAGTCCAAACTTTTTATACTCCCTTCCTCTGTGAAATAATGGGCAGAGGGCAGTAGAATGCGGTACTTACTTGAGAGCGATAAAGTAGTTCTCGTAAGCTTCGACCCGGGTAGCAAGTTCCTCGTCGGCGGCGACTCCGGGGAGCTCTCGGATAGACTCCAAGTTCTGAAGAATTCCATCGTACAAGGCTGCCTTTTCCTTGAGCTTGGCGAGTTTTTTCCCAGTTGGCAATTCTCTCTCTTTCTTTGCCTCTGCAGACGCTGCGTCCTTCTTCTTGCCCCTCCTTCGCAATTCATACTCTTCTGTGGCACCGTCATGGGGACCTGTAAGGACTCGATTCCGGCCGATTCTCCAGCTAATCATCTCGTAGTTGACTGCTGTGCGAGTAATCTGTAGCCGTTGCATTCTAGGATCGCCTTGGCCAACGCCATCTCCTTTGAGTTCGTCGATGGCCTGCTTGGTAGCATCGACCGCATCTTGGGTAGATATTAAGATTTCATCATAAGCGGCAGCTACCTCGTGGAGCCCCTTGTCCTGGGACTTGGCAACTGTCTGCGAGAGTCTCTCTTTGGCCTCAGCGACGATTGACCAGCATGTAGCTATTTGAGCGTCTTCAATCTGGACCTGGTGGGCTCGCCATGTCAGCGTCTGGGGGGCAGTTTCGCTAACCGCAATGCCGTCCTTGGACTCTGGGTTTGCCTCGGCCAGAAGGGTGGCATCAATTCGATTGATTTCTTGAACTAGAGCGTCGTCTGATCGTGGGAAGGCGTTCTTGGCCAGGGTAGCAACCGAGACCGTTCGGGGAGTCTTGAGCTGGTAGGCAGCGAACCTGATGGACGGCTCGACTGTCTCAGAGAGCAAGTCTTTGAAGATGTCGCTCTTGCTAGCGGTAGCCAATGCGTTGTAGATGATGTAGGTTGTTGCGTAGCTCCGCAGACAAGGCTCCCAGCTTTGCTTTTCGAACTGCATAGCACCGCGGATGAGCGATGCGTAGGCCCGAGCCTCGAGAATATCGGTCGGGGTGGCACCGGTGACGTCGGTCTGCGATAGGATGCTGACGACGTGCTCGGCACTTCGAGCGGCTTTCTCGAGCCGTGAGACAATGTGAGACCGGGCGCGACCGGCAACTCCCTTCTGATCGTTGGCATGCCCAGCCTTGATGCTCATCGCCTGAGCCCAGGCGCGTTCGCTGGTAAGGAGGAGTAGATGGACATGTCTGGGAGCTCAAGTTAGCTCGATTGCTGCTGGCTTTGGCCACGAAGAAAGGAGGCGGAGAGGGCGGATGATATCATACTCATTGTTTCCCTGGACGTCTTCGGCCGTCACCTGCTCCGGCTTGCGAAACTTGCCTCGATTCTTAGTCACGATGCCCAGCTTCTTGCGCGAGTTGAGCAGGCGCTTGGACAGCTGGCCATGATAGGTGGAGAAGTCGCCGTAGAGCAGAGCTTGGTCTCGGCCCCGGACGACGAAGCTGGTGATGTCCATTGTCACTGTCACTATCGCTGTCACTGTCGCTGTCCTTGCTGGATTCAATGACGGTGATGCTCAAGTCTCCAATTTGTGCCTCTGGCAGTGGCCAGGCTGTTCAGCGACCAGCTAGTGGTTCTTGGGCTGGGATTGGCGGGGATGGCGGGGCACCTTTTTTTTCTTCCAATTCTTTTTGGCCAGAGGCACGCGGCTGGACGGCTAAAAACCGGATGGGATGTTGGCTTACGTAATGTTTCGAGTGGCATAAGGTTTGAGCTTTAAAGGCAGTTTTTTGGTTAGTTGGATCTCTGCGCACAGGCAGTTGCATCGCTTCTTCATCTGTAGAGGTACAAGCAGCATTACCTTAGTACTAACTCAGGTAGTACTCAAAGCTGAATCAAGTGAAAAAATCATGATACCGAGGCACCGTCTTAACCCGATTAGTACAGATGAATGCGCGATTTGAGAGCTACTGATGCTTGTGCAACAGCATCCTTCATGCCCTTTCAGCGACTTCGATATCGCTCGAATAGACGGGCAATCAGTACATCCACTTGATAGCAGAATCTACAGGTAGCTTTAGTAGTACTTACTAGCAGGTACTGGAGATAGTAGTAGTAGAAGGTGGTTAGCATCAGGCAGCAAACAACCGTAGTGAGACATGCTTGTACGAGATGGCTGCACATCGTTGCCGTTTGATCATGTCTACGGAGTAAGTGGAGCAGTGAATGCAACAGCTCTACGAGTACGCTGCCAGGTCAGGTTCGGATACATACAGCTACGTGTTACTAAGAATATAGCCCCTGACGCTCGGTTGTGCTGTTTTATGACATGTGCAATTTCCACAAGCCGCCAACATGGGCACCGCTCACTGGTGTGCTCGTACGCGGACGAGGCACACGAGGGTGAGACATCTTCCAAGACATCAAAGCCACTCGTGTCGATGCTGCGGACTTAGCCATCACTGGCACCTGTCGTAGTCGCCCGATCAGTGTCCCCCCCGTTGCACTGAAGGGTTCGATCGATTGCGCAGTAGCATTCTGTCTAGATCGGGCTCCCTGAGAACAAAGCAAAGACGCCTTATCTTGATGGATGTATGACAACCGAGACTCGTCGATATCGATCCAGAGCCACTGCTCCGACTCTGGCCACGACTGTCTCGCACGACGCCATTATCGATTCTACGTTGGTAATCGTAAATTGTACTTGGTGTGAATGACGAGTAGATGAGTATCAGCTCTCATTCGAAGCACTAGCGCTTCCTGCCCGTGTAAAGACGGCTCAAGAGCTTCATCCGGCCGGGGTATCTGCAGCTCCATCGCCTTCAGCTCGGATGGTCCGAAGCTAGCAGCCTTGTGATGGCCCTTGTTGCATCGGCCTTTGCTTGCTCTGATGCCGGTACAAGACGCGGTTGGCCTGAGTCACGGTGCTATTGGCCACGTCGTGCCCAGCAAGCTTCCTCTCTCACGCTCGATGGGATCAGAGTCAGCTCATGATAACGCGTCACTGTCTCTGTTCCCCTCTCTTGCTCTCTCTCGTTCTTTGGCTCTGGGCATAGCATACTACTAGTCCGAGCACCTTGCAGTTGTGGCGTATGCGAAGCAAGGAAAGGGAATGCACACGTATCGATCGCGGACAGCACTGTATGTACTTACAAATCAGTACGAGTACAAACAAGGAGATATTAGGCCAGGTAGGCAAGTCTGCGTGTCTTATCCCTCATGCTCACGAGCGACGGCAATTGGCAGCAGCGTCGGAGGTGGGTGCGGCCGTCATTGTCTGGCGCCAAAGGCCGGTTGCGACTTGGTGTCAGCCATGCATATTATGCGGGCACTGCTGGGAGGATCTGTTGATTCGACGCGACGAAAAACGACGGCCAAAACTGACATGATACGGCCCAATGCGCTTGGGTCGGCAATCGTCTGCTCGGGGATTTTGGAGCGCATTCAGGGATCACGGACAAGAGCAACGGGGTGGTGGGTGACACCATGCATTTGGGTGCTGGGCCTCTGGGTCACGTGGCCCCAAACTGTCCAGGGTTGGCCCCTCCAACGCTCCAAAGGCCGCCAGAGCTCCGGAGCTCCAGGTATCCCCCAGGCCGTCTCCAGGCGTGTCCGGGACTTGTTGGCAGCGTTCTGGCGGGCTGTTGCGGATGGAGTCGGTGGCAGAGCAAATGCGGGCGAGATGCGCCACATAGCGAAACTGGGGCCCTCGGACTGGGCCAGCGCTTGACGATCCCTGTCGATGCAAATGTTGTGCGTGCAGCTGACCTTCTTTTTGGCTCGCTGCAGTAGCCGCAAGCGGGTTTTTGCGTGCATCTGGCGGGTTGGTGTGGCACCAAGTCGGTACATCCAAGTAATATCAGTGATCTGTCTAAAAGCTTGATCGAGGCGATGGAATTACTGGAGGTGATAGGAGAAGAAGAATCCTTTCCTTACAGCGCACCGGCAGCAGCAGCAGCTGAGTGAGTGAGTGCCGGACACTGTTACATGTCCCGGATCAAAAGGTACATGCATTGCCGTGCCGTTTGTCTGTCTGTCTGAGATGCAACGTTTCAAGGTGCATGCTGGAAAATCCAAAGAATGCAAGTACTATGTACCGCGATTGGTGACGAGGCTCAGCTGCAAGGGAGGCGGCTCCTCCGAAGAGTTGCGTGTAATAGTACCGATGCCGAGAATTGATTGCCTTGTTTTTTTGCAAACTTTTTTTTCCCGTCTTCGTCTCTCCAATCACAATCACATGCATTTTCTTCAACTGGCAACGAGCCGCAGGGAACAGAAGCTTCAAGGATCAATGCTAGAACGATATCAACGACGAGTACAAGGAAGTACAAGGAAATCAGCTGCCCATGTGACCAAGTGCTGTCAGTAAAAGTTCCAAGATGGAAAGATCCATCTCCAGCTTGTACGTACCCCCCGATGCCCATCCATGTATCTCCCAGTACTGCAGAGCCACTTTTAGGCCATCTCGCGCCCCGCCGTCCCAGCTATCTCGCGCCGCTCCAGCCACTCAGCGTCCGCCAATACATGCCCAGCACCTGGTACCCGTACTTGTACATGGACTTCCCACAGCGCTTGGCCCGCTATCCCGCTGTAATCTATCCCACTAATTCCCACTACCGCTGTGACCTGCCTGGCGACTCAACATGATTCTGTCAAGGTCTGCTGTGCTGCATATGTAGAGACTCACTCACACATCGCCAGTCTCCAATGACATTCGCCAGACCGGCCTCTTTTTCTCTCCGGCTGCCCTACTGCTGTTAGTCCGCGGCCTCTTCGTTTTGTTCCTCCGCCTTGGCTCTGTCTCTGCCGCTGTCTCAAGCCGCCCTAGGAAAGAAACAAAAAAAAAAGAGAAAGAGAAAAAGAACGCGTTGCTGCTCCGAGACAAGACGAGACAACCATCTGCATCGTTGTCGACAAAACCTGGATTGCGGCCTCCTCACGGCCGCTTTTGCGCTTGCCAGCTGGAGCCTCGTGCTCTACCTATACATCGATATCTTGGCATCTTAGCACAGCTGATTTTTCTCTCCTTTTTTTTTGCTCTTCTCTCTCCGGAATCTCACACCATCTCATGCTCTCCTTGCTTTGATTTGCCTCCCGCCTTTTTCTCGCCCCATCAGGAACGCAGTCTTTCCAGTCGCATATTCTTCCCCCTTTCACCTTCACTTCTTCCTTTCATAATTTCCTTCAGATCTACCTTGCTTTTCTAGCAGCTATTTCCCTGCGGGCTGCGCCTTGGCGCTATCATCTTGACTGTTCCTCTCCTAGCGGCGTTCACATCGTGACCAGACCACGAATCTTTCCGTCTATAAAACAGCATTCTCGCTTACGCAACCACGCAGAAAGAGAGAGAGAGAAGCACATGAATTAATACAACATAGCCTGTCCGCCCCCATCCGCCATTACCCTTGCATGAGCCTGTGTGATGACGAATTAAGCCTCGTCACACATGCGGTAAAACGCCTCCTCTCTCTCTCTCTTCTCTTGGCTCCCACTTTTGCTCTAAAGGCTTCCTTTGTGTAGCCTTGAGTGCCACCTAATATATTGCCGATGGATACAAACGGTGAGATCTCCTACCTCTTTCAGTATCCTTCATCCTCTTCACCTTCGATCTGGAATCTCGAATCTGCCACTCTCCCTAGCGTACGATGATAAGCTTCGCGATCATGATTTAACGCTGCCATGGGAATGTTTGTTTAGACTTCCATCCGCCTTCTTGCTCGCTGATTTCTTTGGCTTCGAGAAAAAACGTTACTGAGCATTGCTGATTCGCTATTAGGTGGGCCTTGGCAGCCTCCAAGTGCTGACCCGAATATCCCATGGACCTCAGCTACGCATTCTCTGCCAAAGCGACCATATCACGAATACAGTGATTCGAATATCCAAGATAATGGGCTAGGCCAGCCCATCATTACATGGCAGCAAATGCCCCAACTAAGACAAGATACAGACACCACTTCTTTCACCGCACTGCTCAACAGCCCTCTTGACTCATCTGCCACGGGCTCGCCAATTACAAAACTGCCAGTGGCAGTGACAAGCCCGCCAGTTAGTCAAACAGTGGGACGAAATCATACTCAGTTTCAAGGCTTGCAGCGCCAGAGAGTTGATAGAGATGTCGTCCCACACCGAGACGGCCCTTATCGCCAGTTGAAACCTCAGTTGCAGTCTAGTATCCTCCAACCTCCTCCTGTTGATATTGAGAGCGAACCGCCGAGCCCCAAACGTCGGCGACGTTCACCCACATTTCGACCTACTCCCTTTATAAGGGAGGTCCAAGCTGACTGGAAGAAACAAGCCGAGCGTGCGGCTGCAGCAGAGGCAGCAGCAGCGGCTAATCCAGGGTCATCTACCGTTGACTTGACAGATAGTATGAGTGACTTCCTATGCCCCCGATAAACTTGTCGTTTTTCACTTTGCTCACTAACCGCGTAGTCAACGATGATGCTACCCCAGAGCAGCCCGTGGACCCCAAGGATGAAGAGGTTTGCTACGGTATGATTAAAACTCGCGCAAACTGCACTCGAGCCCCTTCGCCTAAGCCAGGCGTCCAGAGCATGTGGGGCCCCAACTATCAACCTAGCATCAAGGTTATCCTCAGGAGGATGGCTGATGACAGCAACTCTCTTCGCGTTCCCGTTTGCGACCACACCAGACAAATCATCGGGATGGTCGACTATTCCGCCAGCAAGGCTTTGGCGCCTCTGCTGGACTTTAACATTCGCGTTAGGACCGACTGCCGTATCCCGCCGCAGCCTATGGGGCCTGGTGAAGTACCTGGCCAGGCTGTATCACGCTCCTACATCCTCGACATTGTCTTGTACGGGCCCTTGAAATACGCTAGGAATGTTGGAACCCTCCTGGAGCGGTCTGGCGTTCCGCTTCAACAGCCTTATATCATCCAAAGAGGCATCAGACTCTGCAACCCTCACACCGCGGACTACTTGCGTTCCCTTAAAAAGCCGTCCTCCGGAGTATATGGAAATCGCCCTTCGGAGCCTTCTCGTGTCACAAGCTTCACACCAAGAACCGTCGAGGAAGTCCGCTCGGAGGTCATGGGTGTGTTTGATTCTCTTACTAGGAGTGACGAACTACCCACTGAGGACCCCCCCGCATGCATCACAACTCCCCTACTTACTCATCAGAAACAGGGCCTCTATTTCATGATGGCGAGAGAGCAACCTCGCGAGCTGCAGCTGGATGAGACGGGCATGGTTTCTTTCTGGCAGACCAAGCTCGCCCCAACTGGCCAACCAATCTTTCATAACGTCATCACCGATGAGACCCAGGCTACCGTCCCTACCGATACCCGCGGTGGTATACTGGCTGATATGATGGGTCTTGGAAAAACACTCAGCATACTGTCGCTCATAGCAAGCACCATGGACGAAGCACGGGAATTTAAGCAGCTCACGCCTGAGCAGCCATCCGCCCCAGAAACCAGACAGACAAGGACCGAAATGGATCCCATACAAGCGCCGCTGGGTTTGACGCCCGTGTCCCAAAATACTAAATCTACCTTGATCATATGCCCTCTCAGCACAATTACTAATTGGGAGGAACAAATTAAACAGCACGTAGCTCCTGGCAAGCTCTCTCATCATATCTACCACGGACCCAACCGGATCAAAGATTTGGCACGACTCGCACAGTTCGACATCGTGATTACAACTTACGGATCTGTTTCCAATGAGCTCAGCTCTCGACGAAAGGCCAAGACGGGCAGCTTTCCCCTTGAAGAGCTTGGATGGTTCCGCATCGTTCTAGATGAGGCACACATGATTCGCGAGCAAACGACAATGCAGTTCAAGGCCATAGTTCGTCTTCAAGCCCAACGGCGATGGGCTGTAACGGGAACCCCTGTCCAAAACAGACTGGATGATTTCGCAGCCCTCTTGTCTTTCCTTCGCCTGGAGCCTTTCCACCATAGGGCCAAGTTCCTTCGGCACATTGTGGAGCCGTTCAAGGCCTGCGACCCGGACATTGTGCCAAAGCTCCGTATTCTTGTTGACACAATCACCCTTCGCCGGCTTAAAGATAAGATTGACCTGCCCCCTCGGGAAGATCTCATTGTCAAACTTGATTTCAGCACGGAGGAGCGCGGCATATACGACCTCTTTGCCCGGAACGCCCAAGACCGGGTCAGGGTCCTAGCTGGCAACCCTACCTCTGTGGCACTTGGAGGAAACACCTACATCCACATCCTCAAAGCCATTCTCCGCCTCCGCCTGCTCTGCGCACATGGCAAAGACTTGCTCAACGACGAGGACTTGGCAGCCCTGCGAGGCATGTCGGCGGAGATGGCAATCGATATCGACGACGACGACGAGAGTGCAGGCGGCTCGCTGCTGTCTCATCAAAAAGCACACGAAATGTTTACACTAATGCAAGATACGAACAATGATTCGTGCATAGAATGCAACAAGAAGATCTCTTCCCAGGAACAAAACCCAATAGATGCCGAGAAGGAGGACGATACGCTAGGATACATGACCTCTTGCTTTCATGTAGTCTGTCGATCATGCATAAGAGTCTTCAAGCAACGAGCCAAAGCTGCTCTGCAGCCCGGCCAGGTTGCAGGCCCCTGTATCGTTTGCAATGCCCATGTACGATTTGGCTTCGTCAATATTCGCCGCTCAGATGCAGATGGCGAACACGATGGCATTCTCAAATCAAAATCGAAGCATGCCGGAAAAGATCTCGACAATTATAGCGGGCCTCACACCAAAACCAAAGCCCTCCTTGAGGATCTTCTGAAATCCAAAGCTGCCAGTGATGCCAATCCTCAAGAACTACCCTTCAAATCTGTTGTGTTTTCAGGGTGGACATCACACTTGGACCTCATTGAGCTGGCGCTGAAGGAAGCTGATATTCAATTCACGAGATTGGATGGCAGCATGACACGACAAGCACGCACGGCAGCCATGGACAATTTCCGCGAAGATCGCAACATTCACGTCATCCTCGTTTCAATCACCGCCGGTGGGCTGGGCCTCAACCTAACTGCCGGCAACAACGTGTACGTGATGGAACCGCAGTACAACCCGGCTGCCGAAGCTCAAGCGGTCGATCGTGTGCACCGCCTGGGACAAAAACGCCCTGTGCGCACGATCCGATACATTATGCGCAATAGTTTTGAAGAGAAGATGCTCGAATTGCAAGAAAAGAAGAAGAAACTAGCCAGCCTCAGCATGGATGGCCAAAATAAGGCGCTGGACAAGGCAGAGGCTGCGCGACAGAAACTCATGGACCTCCGCAGTCTTTTCAAATGATGGCTGATGGCTACGAGAGGCTGTAAAGGCAGCCCGCTCAACGAAGTTACGAATTTATTACTGGAATTTTTTCTGCTTTCCCCTTTTCATTCTTCTACCATTCTTATACACGAAACGTTGAGCACTTTCGTTTTCATCTTTGCTTGATTCTCCGACGTTCATCTCATCACCACCGAATTCAATCCCCAGGTGTTCGATACGAAGAGGAACCATATTTACTATACACGGCACATGTGCTACGATACATTGTTTTATGTCCATTTTTTTAATCTTTTTATTTTTCCTTTCCATTATCAACATACGGGAGGAATGGGACGACCCTGCAAAGCTCGGGAGGAAAGTTGCGCTGAATTTTCCTTTTTTTTATCATTACATATCACCTGCATCTCATCTCGGGTATGGCAACATCTCCGGTTCCGCGGCACACTGTGGCATTTATACTACTTGAAGCTCTCACGAGCCACTCTCGATCTTAGCGGCGCCCGGGATCTGGTGGCATTTTGCTTCTCCTATTTCTTTATTTTTTCCCCCATCGGCATGGGCGGAACGTGTGTGCATGGACGGGGGCGGCTTGAATTTTGATAGCGCTTTGGGAGGACTATTATTATATATCGGTTGATATATCGCTAAAAAATACGAACGTTTGTTTGCGGGGTATGATAACTTTGTGCTTAGAGATGCCTTTCCGTGACCTTTTTCCCCTGTCCCGTCTTTGTTTCATCTGGTCGTGATACAGCCACCAGAGGCCAGATGATGATGATAATACCAAAGTCCCCCTCTGTAATTACGCTCAAATCAATGTGGCCTCTCTCTACTCTCCTGACTCTTTGACATGTCCAACGCCACTACACCGAAAAAGATCAAACCAAGGTTTAACATGTTCTGACAAGTTCATAAAGCAGTCGTGAAAGAATGGGCGAAAAAACATCGGGGGGGGGGGGGGGGGGGGGGGGGGGGGGGGGGGGGGGGGGGGGGGGGGGGGG